GTATATGTATGGGTTCCGTGTTGAAGTGAAGAAACCCGGAAGCACTGCCACCACGTCCACCAGATTAAAGCCATTGGTGAAGAATCCGAGGATCCTTGAGATCGCGGCTTACGGTTAGGGCCTTAATCAGTAAAGATACTGTGATACTGTGTTAGGGCCTTAATATTTAATGATAAGCTTTCGGGGCACGGTTTAGGGTTTAGGGTTGCGATATAGTATAACTAGAATACATAACAAAGGCGATCCTTGGCAACAAATTGGTGGTCACTTAGGCTTCTATATTGATTTCGGGATTCAGGGTTTATGGCTGTCGGGCTTGCGGCCTTAGAACTCGGAGTTCAGAGCGCCAGGACCTGTGCCTTGAAACACGAGAACCCTGTGAATCCAATCTGGTGGTTCCTGTCGAGTTTCCAGCAGCTTCCCCTAGGCTGTTAAATTGAGTCACTGATGAGCCCGATGAATTCAAGCATAAAAACACACGATTCCGTTTTTTATATGGAGCTCAACACTGCATGGTCTCCTTCCTACAGGTTCATTTTTCTGCGTCAGCACTCGGAGCTTTCTGAGAGGCAGGTGGAAGATGTGCGAGGTTTATGGTCTGGAGGGCCATTGGGGAATACGCTTCTCTCTACGGAAACCTAATGTCGGGAGGGAACATTACTTATGTCCTATTTGGGATCTTCTTGTGGACCCTAGTATCTTGGGGATTGCAGAATCTAAGCATCCACGAACCGGGTTAACAAAGCCTCAAATACTGTAAGCCCAAAGTAGTTCAAGTCCATGGGTCCGTATCAAGATCCCAAATCGGAGCCACTCGGGGCTCGTTATATCAAGGGCTTCAGATCAAGAGTATTACACATTTTATTTTACAACCTGTAATGCTGAACTATATGAGCCTATGAGCCCAGAACTGTTCCTTTTTGAAGACAGCGGCGAATCGGCGACGCAGAGGCGTAGTGCCAGCTCGATGGTGAAGATGACGGTCACCTCCACTGCTTCGCAAGTTCGGGATTTAGGCCTTGCAATTTGGAGATTTTGGATTTTAGGGTTTCAGGGTTTAGAGTTTAGGGTTTAGGAGGAACCTGCCTGGATAAGCTCAGCATATCAGTTTGCAGAGCTTGTGGATGCAGCTGAGGGATGGCTAGCAAGTTTTGCTTGGGCCCCCTTGCATCTACCCAGACGCCCCATAGTAGTTCCTTTTTGGGATTACCTTATAGGATTCTATGTACGAAAAACAAAAAGGAACTACTTTGGGGCCTCTGGGTAGTGTTAACATAGCCAGCACTGCAACTGCCGTCCCCTTCCATGAGAATCAAGCGTACAGGCTATTAGCAAATACTATAGGGGCCTGAATAATTAGAACAGGGTTTTGGGGGTCCATTGTACTATAACTATAATGAGGACCCCCCCAAAAAATAACAAACTATAGGTAATTATTTAGGCCCCTATACTACTCCTTCAAGAAGGCGGTTCTGTGTCGCACTGCGAATATTTCGCACAAGGAACGATGGCTTCGAGCCATAGGAACTTCCAAGTCCGAAACTCGGGCAAAGTCTCGAGGATGACGGCTGCACCTTAGAAGGGGCCGTAATAGTGGCATAATAGGAATATAATAGGGCCCTAATATAACCCTTATAGTCACCATTACAGGGTGGGGGCAGCTTCTAAGCTGCACCTGAGTATGTTCGAGTGCAACTTATTACACCATAACATAACATACACAATATCGAATCAATAGGTATGTGTGTATATTTATATATGGCTGTATTGGTGTATATCGATATAGAGTCATACTTCTCGCGAGTAGGAACATCCAACTCGCAATGTTGTATGCATGCATAGAAAAAGTGTGTTATTCTCTGAGCCAGGGTCCCCCCCCTCTGACTTCCTGACTATCAAAATGGAAGTTCCAATCTGCGATGGGATCTTCGAGTCGCGGGGGGAGTTAATCTCAGCTGTCGTATTTTTATTACATAAGGCTTTGGGACGGGTTCGGCAAGTCCGCACGTCCTCGTGAAACTGAAACATTTACTGAACCAGAAAAGAACGCTGTCGGGCCCGCTTTTCGGGCTCAGGGTGTGATGAACACGATTTGCAAGATAAGACAGAGGAGACGTTGATAATCAAACTTCGCCTTTGGGGTCTCTGTTATAGACCTATTATGAAGCCGGGGGAGTTCTGTCACCGTTACTAGTCAGTCACTTACATTATAGACTCTGGCAGACGAGCTGCTGGATGCCACGATCAGAAACAGCAAGCTCGCCTGGACTCAACCCGTTTCCCGCGTGTCTTACTGGATCGCCTACTGAGTCTACAGCCCACCGCCCGAAGCTACAATCCTAGAATCACCCCCACCATACACCCTAAATGGCACAGACTATCCTAATATGTAAACGAGACGGCCCTGAACCGGCACAGTGCACTCTCACTGAAGCCTCCCAGTGTCTCCATATATCTGAAGAACTCAGAACTAGACTGGGGTTTCGGGGGTTGTTATACTACAGAAAATCCATAAAGGAACCCGTTGGAACATACAATAGCATCAAAGAGCCCCAAGCAATGAGCTGTGAACCATTGCTGTAGTATTAAGGTGCCCTGAGCAATACATACTACAGTATGATACTAGTTACAGGTCCTCAAGAAACACTCTGTCCACTCATTCCGACCCTGATATTTCAGTGGCCTCAATTATATTCAACTGGGAACAATCAGGAGACACGACTATTTGTCCACCCTTGTATTGATATGGTATAATCATAAGGGAACAGGGATTAGGCGATGCTGATAGTAATTTGCCCGAGCCTTACACGGATAATGTACTGTTATCATGAGGGAACTATATATACGGAGAAGTTATTTCCCGACCCTTACATACACATATACGTGTACATATACATGTACATAATATGTGTAAACACATACATATACATAGACATATAAGTACATGTACATGTACATATGCGTATATACATATACATATGTATACATTGCGATATATCATGGCTAGGGAGGGAACTACGCAGAGGTAGTGCTAGTGCTAGTAGTTCCTCCGGTATCTACCTATAGTCTCCAATATAGTTCTTTGGAGGTCACCTTATAGGTTAAACCCAACGAAGGAAGTACAATGGAGACTAGGTATGTCATGCAATGCGAAGCCTGGAACACCGCGGCGGCTGTGGAAGAACGGGGGTCGTCCACAAAGGCCTCGCTATGCTTTGGATCCAAAACCCGGCCCCTCGCACAAAAGGTTTAGGATGCTTTTGGGCTTAGGGTTGAGGGCGTGGAGCTCGGGCTTTGTAGGGTTTCGGGCTGCTTGAATGTCTACATCCTATGCATAAGCCACACTAGGCACCCGTCTTGCGGTCTTGCCTGATTTTCTAGCTGTGAGGTTTTTTGGTTGGTAAGCATACTAAACCCCAAAACCGACGAACTCCAAACCCCAAAATTCGGAAACTACTCCCTGCACCAGAGGATCGCGTGCATGAGAAAGGTTGCATGCCAGGGTGCCAAGGCTTTCGTCGTCGTAAATTTGTGTCAATATGTTGATCGTATTCTCGAGTTGAAATTCCGCACCTATATTCTCCGAACCAACCAACTCCCAGTGATACTGTCATCCCCTGTTCTGTCTGTTGTCGTCCATACTTCGCTGCTTTGCAAGAAGACAAGTTACGTGAGACCCAAAGTTCTTAACAAACACGCAATGCATAAACTAATCTCCAAGACCTGTCCCCGAAGTAACCCTTGAAAGCCCTGTTCTACTGTTCTACATTGAAGAACACCTGCACTACAATGCCTGAGAGTTACCCCTGCCCCCCCCCCCCCCTCAGCAGCAGTGTCCTTAGTGCTTCGGTAGGGGGACTCAGATCTGATGCTTCCCTGATGGGCCCTTGAAAACACTCCCGGAGCACCTTGAGAGAACTCCGCGTATCCACCTCCTCTTCTGGGATAGAGCTTGTCGGGCTGTACATGGCTCAAGGGCCCCAAGAAGCTCTTTTGGGTGTTTAAGATCGTCTAAGAGCTGTATTGTTTATGAGGCTGAGTCAGAGTTCTGTAGTGCGTTGTACACTCCTTTTGGGGTTTGGGCTTTTGGGTTTCAGGGAATTGCCAAGGGTCCGGGTCTAATGGGTTTAGGAGGTCTAAGCCTTGTGTATGAGCCAGACATCCGGAAGCAAAAACTGAGACAAGCACCCGTTTCCACGGCAAATGGCGGAGACGGCTTGCAACATTCGGCCTATGCTTCGTTTCCCAAACCAAATATTTGAGAAAAAAGGAAGAGATTTGGTAGCGAAAACGGCGCTGGGCAACAGGCCCGGAACGGCGTCGAAAACACACGATCCCAGCTACAGCTACATTTGGGCTTTGCCGGTTGAAGTTCTGCCACCGAAGTATGTATAGCGTGTACACTCCAAACTCCAGCGCCAAGGCGATCTTTGCAACGTTTGACCACGGCCCATAGAGACCTTAATGCTACCCAGAGGCTCCAGAGTAGTTCCATTTTGGGATTACCTGATAGGATTCTATATATGAACCCCCGAAAGGAACTACTATGGGGCCTTAGGGTATTGCTATGGCCATCCAGACCAGAAGATCTGCAAAATCAAACCTTGACGCGAAAAGCCTTAGTGCAACCCAGAACACGGCTGCGGGACAAGCTGCACCTTCTCATGGATGCCGGCAGAACGACCCTACCATTGCCGGCTACCAAGACACCTTTAGACAGCCAGCACGTTAAACCCGTACAAGGTGCAGGGGTGCATGCAATAAACACTACTCCAGAAAACTTCGTCACTTGCATCACCGTTGTAGTGCCCCTGCAAAGCCTTCCTCATCCTCAGACCCCAAACCCCAAAACCAAAAAGACTCAAACCTCCAAACTCTGAAGAAGCCTTCCCGAACCCCTTTAAGAATCCTTGGTAGCTCCCCACCCCTCATGAACCGTTTCTGAGGAGCCCGTGTCCCTAAACCCTAAACCCTAAACCCCAGGCACCAGCAAAGGGCGCCTTGCCCGGCCCGCAGAAGCCATGGCAGCATTGTGCTCTGCCAAAGGTCGGCCCCTTAGGATGCCAGGGACCTCCGACTGGCAAGGATTCAAGTCTTATAAGCTTAGGGTATATAGGGTTTAGGGGTTTAGGGTTTAGGGTTCAGGGTTTTAGGGTTTAGGGTTTTAAGGTTCACGGGTTTAGGGGTTTAGGGGTTTAGGGTTTGGCGATGAGGATTCAGGGCTTAAGGCTTTTTCCCCAAAGGGCGTTCTGGGAAATTCGGGTATAGTTAAGGGCTTGTAGGATTGAGGTCATGGGTTCGGGACTTGCGATCTGGAGGCTTCTGAAAGTCGGGGTCCCAGGTTAGAGGTTAAGTGATTTAGGGTGCAGGCCCTACACCCTCAAACCCGAAACACCTTGCGGGATTCGCGCATTTAGGCTTCTGGCAACCGGTTTCGGAGTTTTGGATTTCGGGATAAAGGACGTAGGGCTTACGCACATAACATAGACACTTCATCGGGAGATGGAATTGCTCGGGCATTGAACGGCGAAGGTTTCGACGCTTTCTGTGCTCCACAAGCTTCTTGCTCGACAGCGGGCTGCTGAAGCAAAGATCGAGGCAACAATATCCGCCTTAAGATTAAGCCTAAGGATAGGGTTTTGATGTAGATAATAGTGTACTTGCCCACATGGCCTGGAAGGGGGCATTCTTACGCGTTGCTCAGGCACAGGTGCTACTTCATACTACATATCACTTCGATTCGTTCTACACAAACACTTTGGATTCCTCTAGCTTCAAAAACATAATTTTCGACATTGCGATGCGGAATTCCGATCCTCGTAGGTACAAAGACAACCTACGCCTCTACGGTGCCGCGATCGCTTGTAGAGGTTCGATCCGTGAGCTACCAGTATTGCTCAGTCTGTCACCGGGCCTGCCGGAACATCGTGGCTGCCAATCGTGCCTTACCAGCCTTAGCTGATTCAAGTGCGTCGGGCTCGCAAAGCGATATTTAAACATGGCCGCCATTTGTGAGCAAAGCTATCTGAGGAATCGGAAACATGAGTTGCGTAATTAGGCACGGAAGTGGGTAGTGGTCTGTGTGTTGTTGAGAGAGGCATTGTTCTTGTTGCTGTGAACCTGCACTTTCAGTGGTTGTTGCTCTTGGGCGCATGCTTCAGCTTCCATGAATCCGTCAAACTGCCAAACTGCTCCTGTTTTGTCCAAACCATGTTTACGTGCTGACATTCACATGTGTGTGTGTAACTTGCTGTATGCGTGTGTGTGTATATATATACGGACACATACATGTATATTCGATGTATATAAATATTACAGATAAAGCCTTATGATGAGTCTTGTTATGACAGAGAGGTAGACAGAGAGACAGACGGACGGACGGAGAGCGAGAGAGAGAGAGAGAGAGAGCCTCGGAGGGAGAGGAGGGAAAGAAAGACAGACAGACAGGAAGGGCAGGCAGGCAGGCAGGCAGGCAGCCAGACAGACGGACAGGTGGATAAATAGGTCTGCAGAAAACCCTAAACCCTAACTCTGGAGAGGCCGTGCCTTGGCGCAGGCGCCAGCTGCTGCCAGCAAGCTCGCCACCGGCACCCTAAGAAAAATAGAAAGCACTTCCAGGGTTTACGGTTTTGGGGTTTAGAGTTTAGGATTTGGCACTATAATCCACGGACTGTAGGAGCCAAAGTGATCAATAATCCTTGACTCCCGACAAAACTTGGCTTGACTTGCTATATCTTTACCCCCTTGTACCTAAGTCTCTGCACCCTGAGGGAGCGGGGACCTGCTGTGGTGTGTTCAGAGTTGAAAGGTTCCGGAGTTTAGGCTCAACTAGGTTGCTGAGTTCATAAGCCCCCAAAAGTGCACACTTTCAGTTTCATAGTGGGTAACTATCCCAAAAAAGTGTAACATGTATCCACTCAGCTGCTAAGTCAAAGGTTCAGGGCTTCAGGGGTTTGGTCGAGGGGATGGGGAGTTCAGAGGCCTAGGGCCTGGGGTACAGCTCGACGACTTCCTATGGCCGCAGCCCCTCGACAGGGCTCACTTTTCTAGTCTGCTTTGATTTCGAGCATCTTTTGCGACGGCCCTCACAACTCCAGACTCTAATCCTAAAATCCCGCAACAGAAACCGTCGTTTCGCCCAGCCTACTACCCGCAGCCCCTCAAGAGAGAAGCCTGTCCGCCGCCCTGCGCAGCTGTGACACGAGCGCCAAGGCTACCTCCCAGAAAAGTCGAGCGAAAACCCTGAAACTCCAAAGGCAAAAGACAAAAAAACATCCGAAACCATAGTTCCCCTGTAGTCCCTCACGATCACAATAAACTGTGCTCGAGGCCCCACAGCCCTGGTCTAACTACCAAGATATTATCGGAGTTCAGCACCCCGTGACAGTATCAGTCCGTCCCATCATGGCCACAAAAGCTAAACCCAATCAATTGCCGAAAAGCTGGGCAAATGGATCCTGATAAAAGCAATCTAGAAGCGCGAGCAGTTCGACCGTCGTTTCTATAGTAGACTTACATTTACCAGGGAGCTGTAACGAATGGTACTGATACTTAGTCAGGCCATTATACAAAAAGCGTCCAAACCCCCTTTTACAACATCAACCTTATTATCAGCCCAAATAAACACCGGAACCAAAAAAAAGAAGACGTGCCAAACTCCGAAGGCCCGAGAGAGAGCCTTGCTGAACACAAATAACCACGACCCTATGAAACCCTTATATCCCAAGTAGCTGGACCCCAAAAGCATGTAGAAGAATAGCCTTTTGCAGGTATTGGGCCATTTGTTTACCTACTTTGGGGGATTAGGTAAGTAAGAGCCCACATACACACCTGTCGAGAGTCGAGAACCTATGAGTTAGAGGTCACGAATGCCCCCTAAACCCCAAACGAGCCTCCCAGGCATGTAAAACCTCGGCCGCTAGGAGACCGGCACTCATCGCTGGTGGAGTCCTCAGAATTCGCGGGGGTTGGGGGCTTAAGGGTCGGGCATTCCTTCTACTCTAAGGATTCCTTGTATGGTTTCTTTTTGAGGAGGGTGGGGAATCCTAAATTGAGCGCTTCTTATAGTTGGTAAAGATCCCATCATTTGGGGTCAAACAAACCTTAAACATCTACTCCATCATAGAAAGCAGAAATCCCACTATTTAGGTTGTGCTAGATCATCTTCTGCCGGAGCGATGATGGCAAGTTCAAAGACAAATTGCGCTGGGTCCCGCAGAGTTAAACGGAACACGGCTGAGAGTTTATGGGTAAGTCCAAACTCGAATCCCAGATGCCAGACGAGCCGATCGACCGATGATCTTCACAGTCAGGGGACTGGTATGAGTCTGCAGAGGCCCACCAGCTAGTTGCAAAAGCACCACGACTTCCCAATCACTGGAAGCCCTGCCGATGGTGGGGACGAGTTTCGGAACCTGAAACTACGAAACCCGGTCTACATTTGGGCCCCCAAAAGGCCTCTACCCTAAGGCCCCAAAGTAGTTCCTTTCTTGGGAGTTATTTATTTAGAAGCTTCTGAGGTGATCCCAAAAAGGGTTACTATGGGGCCTCTGGGTAATGACTCCACCACTACGTGAACTTGGACCCTTCAGGTCTAAGAGAAGCCCGAGAAGCAGAGCATTGAGGATCCCCTTCGTCTCGACGAGTCGTAAGACCTCCGCCCAGCGCCCTGCAAAGGAAGATTTCGAGTCGTCGGGACCGAGGGCTCTTATGGGTTTTTGGGGGGTTTTTGATTCGGGGCCTCGGAGTCTTTAGCGTTTCGGGCCCATGGCTTAGGCTTTGGATTTAGGGGTTTGGGTTTAGGGCTTAGGATGTTTAGTGGCAAATTTAGTCAGAGTGCAGGGTTTAGACCAAGATTATGCTGATGTTGACTATGGCTCTATCACACGCAAATGTTGCAACTTGTGCTGGTTGATGCAGTGCCCAAGTACTCAAGCATCACGGGCGATGCTTGGTAAAGACAGGTGGATCTCGGGTTCATCTGCGGAATCATGCGACAAAGAACGCTGGCATTCCGTTCTCTACCAGAGGTGTCTCGCAGCGACTTCTAGGCGGCCTCGTCCATAAGGGTTTAGGGTAACGGCAGAATGCAAGTCTCTCTCTTGCAGCGGTCCTTGACTTACGGCATCCGACCTTCAAAGTAGCACAACCGTTTGTAAAGACTTTGTCAAAAGCCCCGAAAGCCAAGGTAGTGCAGTAGGTCAGAAACCCCAAACATGACTCACGAAACCCTATAAACAGCATTGCTCACGGATAAACACCTTTCCACATGCACATGTAGCCTGGCCCGACACAATTTGACATGCTGGTGCTATGCCTTTGTAGCCGTTAAGTATGGTCACTGCTTGAGGCATCTACATTGATCTTCTTTGTTGCGGTATCTTACGCTCTTGCTGCCATGCGCCTTGCTGCACGCAAGCTGAGACCAGGCTGCCTGGTTGGCCATATTTTGGGCCAGGACTTCGGTGCTTTCAGTGGGTGCACTGGGATGAAGAAAGGTTTGCTACTTGCCAGGATCTAACGTTCTGGAGCCTCGGATTCTTCAACACATCCACCACACACCTTTTCCCCTAAACTAAACCCTAAACCCTGGACCCTAAACCCAAAGCCCTGCAGCTCAACCGGATGCCGAGATACTGTTTGTGATCGCGTGCGGCACCGTTCCTTGCGCGAGCAAGGCCTGGTGTAATGCCAATCCTGGTCCAGGGCTCTACGGAATAACGTATCAAAACTATCCACTGTGTAGTGGGACATATGATAGGTGTGCGTGTGTGTGTGTGTGTGTGTGTGTGTGTGTGTTATATATATATATATATATATGTATATATATATATACACATACTGTATGTGTGTATATATCTACTATATGTAAGTATGTAATGCGTAATATGTATGTATAGTTTCGAAGCATGAAATACGTATTTAGCGGTTTTAGCGCAAGACTTCGACTCTGGGTTTAAGCTTCGAACTTTAACCTTTACTGTTCAAGGAAGATTTGGGAGACTCGGGCTGCTAGGTAGGGTTACAAAGAACCCCAAAGAGGGGGCTCATTCAAAACCCTACTTCCTGCGGTCACTCCGGCTCTGTAAACCTATAGGATCCCTCTAAGGCGTTCTACGGCGGCAGGTGGAGAACCGGCTGCGGAAGCTTAAAATGCATGGCTTGAAGATTTGCTTCAGAAGCTTACACTTGTGGCTTGGGCCCCTGCCTAGACCCTAAACCCTATAAGCCCTAAACATACGCTTGGACCTGAACGCCTCAACCCTTGAGCCCACATCCCTAAGTCCAAAATAACACACCCTAAATAACAACCGGGCCTCTGAGCTTTGAGATCTATGTCGGTGCAGGGTGTTGGGCATTTCGGGTTTAGGATGACGGAGGTGTAGGGTCTAGGTCTTCAGGGTTTGGGGTTTCAGAATTTTGAGAGTATATAAGGGTTTGGAACTCAGGGTTTTCAAGCATCTGCCACGTCTCCTGGCTACTACATACAATGTCATGCTTCACACCTGGCCCCCCAAGTATCCATAATGCTGATGGTAAAACCAGGCCAGCAATTCATCCCAATAGGCTCGCTTCTACCAGCATTAAAACTCAAAGCTGTGCCCAGCTTCCTGCTTTGATATTATAGCAAAACGAACACAGCAAAACTGGCAACATGCCCTCTCTTGCTACAGAAATGCACGGAAACGAGACGGCGAGCGAGAGAGGGAGAGTGAGAGAGAGATAGGCAAATAGATTGACAACCAGGCATCTTTAAGTGGCCCGGCCTTGATGCAACTCCTGGCCCTTGATACCTCCGCAGCCAGGATGCTGGATTGACTGGCTGTCAGGGTGTAGGGTTCAGGGCGGAGTGCCACAACAACGGTCTCCAAAACCTCCTCACCAAAGCCCAACAGTCGAGCATGATGCAAGAAAGATCTTGGATGACCAGAATAGGGAATCTCTACTCTTCATTTCAACAGTTCGTAGGACCAGGCTGGTAACTTTAACTTCAAACTCCATTACACATGCAAGGCTACACAAATGTTGCTCGTGCTGTTTGCCCAAGTTCCAACGAAGCTTATCTCGATGGGATGTTCGCGATACAAGACTGGAGAAGGTCGTGCCACTAGATGCCATGCCTCTCTCCAGTTTGATATGTCATGTAAAGACCCTGCAACGTGCATCCGATGCGCCTCGAAGGCTCTGTAAACCAGAGCCTACCCAAAGGGCCTAGTAGTTGCTTTTTGGGATTACCTGGCAAGAGTCTAAATATGAACCCCAAAAAGGAACTACTGGGGCCTTAGGGTAGGCCCACCCCTTGTTGCCGAGCCCAGGCGCATGCGCCGATGGCCACGCCCTGCAAGACACCTCGAATTGGCGCATAAAAGTTTAGATCTTTGAGGGTTTTGGAGTTTGGGAAAAATGCGTGTGGGTGTATGTGTGTATATTGTATGTACATATATCGAGTACATGTATATATGTACATTTGTGTATATACGTATTTACACACATCTCAAGCGGCATGAACAACAATCACAGTAAGAATGCCTGACAAATGCAAGGATGATGCCACGATCGACGACGATGATGAATAAAAACAACAACAATAGCAATGAAAGGTAGCAAAAATACAATAATATGAATATAAAAACTATAAGACAAAGCATAATAGAAATAGTATAGGTAATAATGATAGCAAAGACACTAGTGTAGTAATATTACTAGTAACAACAATAAGGCTAACAATACCAACAACAACAACAACAACAACAACAACAACAACAACAACAACAACAACAACAACAACAACAACAACAACAACAACAACAACAACAACAACAACAACAACAACAACAACAACAACAACAACAACAACAACACCAACAACAACAATACCAACAACAACAATACCAATACCAATATCACCATCAGTTTCAATACCAATGCCAATATCAATAACAACAAAAAACTAGCAATACTACAACAACCATAACAGTAATCAATGAGAAAAGTTTAACTAGCATAACAGTGAGAGCAATTATGATATTAAGAAGTGTCAGAAGAGTGCTAATACTAACTTATTACTAATAGTATTAATGATTCAGATTTCGATACTAATCAGAACAATGACATATAACTATAAAAACAGCAACGAACAAACACTGTAACAGTAAAATGCCAACCAAGAACAAGAAACTGCAGCCAAAACACTAAACATAACATTGTACCTTGTCTTTTGGGGGGATCGAGGCTACGGGAAAGGATGAACTAAACTCTAAACCCTCATCCCGAACTCATAAGCCCTAAATTCCATAACTGTATAAAACCCATGAACCCCGAACCCTAAACCCCTGAAAGGCACCTTGAAAGGGAACCCTCAGCCCTGAATTTTGAATGCCGGAGAACTGGAAGGCTCCAGGGCAGCGCAGCGCATCTGTGCGAGGAAACTCAAAGCCTGACTGTCGTTTCGGGTTCATGATTCAATATAAGCCCCCTGATTAACAAGCCCTGAACCAAAAGCCAAAAAACTAAAGTACATATCTGAAAGCGGGATGCGCTAATATCCCTTAACCCTCATCCTGAAACCACCAAACAACACAAAACCCAGAAGCAGCCCTACACCCTAAATGGAATCGAATATTTCCCAAACCCTGAAAATGAGCTCGGCAGTTGGGGTTCCAAGGCCTTCAGGGCTCTCGGGCTTCGGCTTAGGATTTCAGGTTTTGGCAGTTGCCCTTTAGTTCACTGAACCCTTCTTTAGGAAGGCCCGTAGTGCTTGGAGGGCTCGCATTTTAGCAATAGCTTAAAACATGTCTTGGTTTTCATGGTTTGAACGTCTGCATCAACAGGGAAAAGTGCTGTAAGGCTTCCGGCCTTCGAAGTAAAAGGTAAACGATGAACCCATACCGCCCATACCCCATCCTGGTTTCAAGTTCGGGAGCCTGAAGGCATATTGCCCAGCCCAGTGATCAGCATGCTCATCTTATCTGAGTTCAGAGTGTTCTTCAGGGGTCTTGCGGAGCTCTGTTTTGTGTCATAGAGTTAATCAGGGGGTTAGAGTTACAAGGATCTTCACGGAGTCATAGTTGAAGTAACCTACATGAAGTTACCAATAAGTGGACATGCACTACATCAGCAGCTCCTTCCTTTTGTCACTAATGACGTCTGGTTCGAGGGCTCAACTTCCCCACTGCCACTGGAAACCCTAAACCCTAAACCCCTAAAGCCCCAAACAATGGGCAGTCAGCTTGGCTCCTACATTAGTGAGGAAGCCTGGCCTCCTGCCACCGATGCCCACCTTGGTGATAGTGGCCATGGATTCTTAGAAGAGGATCTTGGTGGGTATATCATGGATTAGTTATAAGGTCTAAACGGGAAACTAATTACGGCTTGTCAAAATCTGACATTCGGTGCTCTGGCGTCAAAGTTCGGGGGTTCGAGTTTAGGAGTCAGAGGCGCGGGGTACTGTGTTGTATCGCGTGGTTAATAAGCTCGGGTACCGTACGCATGTGTCGCAGACCTCGCCTTCCGGCATGTCTACCCGTCTGATATACATTTGCATGCAGCAGGATGCAATGCTCAATTGAAGCGCTTATGCATTATCATGTCACTGAGACACTTTAAATCGCACCGATTCCACGCAGAAGTGCAGAGACTATGTGAGTCCTGGCCCGCTCCAGGCTAGACTTGCGGTTTAGGAGAACTGTGCCATCGGCCTGCGATTCTCTGTTGGTAAATCTTCCTACTTCGACTTTCGCAGTGGTGATTTTATTCAGACATTTGGGGTCTACATTAGAAGCTGCCCCCACCAAATAGTGACTATAAGGATTATATTCCTATTATACCACTATTACAGGGTGGGGGGGCCCCTTCTAAGGTCTACATGAATTAAGCGGTTGTCCTTGAGCCTCGGCCAGCCGGCCGAGCTGTTGGGACTTACCTATAGTCTCCATTGTAGTTCCTTTTTTGGGTTTAACCAATTATTTATATTATGGATCCCATAAGGGTTTAGGGTTTAGGGTTTAGGGTTTATAGATTAAGGATCCCACAAGGTAACCCCAAAAAGGAACTACAATGGAGACTATAGGTAGATGCAAGACCGCAACACCAACCCCTAAACCACTGGAAAGCCCAACGCCACCCGGAAAAAAAAAAATCTGAAACCCCCAAACCCTAGCTCCGAAAAGTGTTTAAAAACTCCTCAAAACAATAGATCCTAAACTTTTCATCTTCAGCCCCTAAAGTCCAAAACTCCATCGCATGCATAAATCCTTAGTTAAACACACAGCAGAAACACAACGAACCTCTCCAAACCCTCAATCACCCATCCCTAAACCCATATGTTCAACTCCCCTGACAAAACTAGATGTGAATGATGTGAAACCATATGTTTAACTCCCCCTGACAAAAGAAGATGTGAAACCAGGAAAGGGGCCAAGCCACGTTCGCAAGCGCTGATCAAGGAGCCAAAGATCGGGTTGTCCGGACGCACAGCGCCTGGCCCAGGGGCTTTAGGGACGTAGGGCTTTCAGCGTTCTATAGGGTCCCTTTTTTTGTTGAGCCCCTTTTCCCATCAGCAATCCGTCTTGTTCTATAGGGTCTAGGGTCTAGGGGGTTGGGGATGTAAGGGTTTAGTAGGGGTTTAGGGGCCTCGGCTCTTGGGGCTTCTGGTTCAAGGTCTAAGGCTTCGTGATTTCGGAGTTTACTCTTCTGTGGGCGGGGGGGGACCTGTAGGAACCTGCAGCAGATCGACTTCACAAGCTCTGCCCCAAGCAAAACAATGGTGGTCTCCAGCATGATATTCCCTCTGTTTCCCTGGACTCAATATGGTTATCAATACCGTAACATGGTAAGTTCAGCAACCGCAAGCATTGAGGATATCAATCAAAATGAGAAACAGTCATTGCAAAAAACAACACAAGCATGAGTCATCGCCGCCAAAACCATGAACAGGGTGTAGCAATTGCAAACTAGCCAAATCTGCTTGCACGTACAGCACGACGTGCGGCGGCAGTACACCTAGAAATGTTTGTAACAATAGCAGCTCCCGTATCTGCTCATGCTATAGACTGCGAATAGAGTTCAGAGTACAAGTTGTGACAATAATCGTGATCGTGATGTTAATGATGATAAATACCACCACTCACCAAAGCAGTGGTTGCATTCAGACGAGCACAGCCAACCAATAGGTACTATCGCTCACCATCTACCGATACCACCTATAGTCTCCATTGTAGTTCCTTTTTGGGGTTACCTTATAGGACCCTTAACAAAGAATTGGTTAAACCAAAAAAAGGAACTACAATGGAGACTATAGGCAGGCTTTAGAGTACTGTTGGCGCCAGGTCGCCATCTGCCAGTCTGTTGACCAGCGAGAGAACCAAGTCCCACCTACAGCATCTTGAGGATAGCATGTGTGTCCGTGTGTACGTGCTTGCGTATGAATAGACTACAGATAGATAAGTTCTTAGATAAATGGCAGTCGAATGGGCAGACAGATAGACTTCTGGAACCCACGCCGCATCACACATCCAAAGACCAGGCACTTGCCAGCTCGCTCGCATGTGTCAGCCTTGGTGACGGAAACGTGGATGGACAGTAATGTTTCCTGAAACCGCGAACCCTAAACTCCTAAACCTGCTGACTCGAACGGCAATCTGCTGCAAGCAATCCGATTCTCTGCGCTCGGATTAAGTTCATCTACAGAAACCAATTTCTACCTGTCCGAACAGGTTCATGTGCAGGAATCCCCTGCCTGACATCCTTCCAAACCGGGATGGCGGCATCTGGGGCATGTAGGTCGAACGTGGGTATGTCGTCTTGTCATGCATGGCCCAGTCAAACCAGCTGCCACCCCAAGCTGTAATGTCCCCATGCCATATTCCATACGTTGTGAAGATCGCAGTGCCTCTCACGCATCACGCCTAAGACCTGCTCTTGAAGTCCAAGCAAGGCTCCAGTGCGCCGAAGGTGATCTTATCCGGTGGCAAACTTCGGCGAGCCATCTCGTCGAACAGCTCGAGGGTCAGGTGCCACTGCCTGGTCTTTGAGGGTTTAGGATGTAGGTCCTTTTTTGGCCGGGGGCGCGGAGGGGGTGGGTCGTGCTGTGTTTCAGGTTACTTAAAGGCAGGATCTTTTAGACTTGTCCGCAACTCCCATATCACGCTAACCTGCCTACAGTTCGAAGCCCTCAACTCCAACAGCCCTAGACTAGAACCCTAACCCTGCGGCCATCAAAACCAAAAAGAATCCTAGAACCCCAAGCCCTAAGCCCCAATAAACTCTGGAGTCTGGAGCCCAAAAACCCCCAAACAACTCCCACACTCCTAAGACCCAGCTAACCCCTGAGCTCTTGGGCTTGGGGATCCGAGCCACCGTCCCTGACCACAGCCCGTCATGGTCGCGTTGAAGCTGACGACATCGGCCTGGTTTCTGGTGTAGGCGTTCGGGTTCACAGGGCGTAAGGCTCAGGGTCGAGGATTTGGGTGTGGAGTGCCAATGATCAATAGGAGCCTTGCTATTGGCTTGAGGGCTTTGCTGGTGTAGTTGGCTCGCAGTCCCATAATAAAGGCGCCTATTCTTTGGCAGCATGAAAGCCCGCATGCTTCGGAAGCCAGGGTTCCAGCCATCTTTCCTTTTGTTACTGTTGGGTCGAGCATTGCAGCAGGCCCGACAGGCTTGACCTGATCTGAGCCACGGTCGTGCGACCTTGCTCCGGCAATGTCCGGCAAGATGACGCTAATCAACCAATCTTTGAAGGTATAGGGCCTTGGTAACTAGAATAGGTTGCATAAGTTGTGGGGTATATAATTAATACCATAAATAGAAAGAGGAACTCTCAGGAACTTATTGGTAATTATTGAAGCCCCTATAGATACTGCTACCCGAATAGATCTTGAGCCCGACCTCATTCGAGACCGTTCCTTGCCTACTCATAATAGAGAAGCCGGATCCAAAATACAGCATGCAAGTTGCACCCTACACCCGCATCGAAAAGCCCAAGCCCTGAACACTACATCCTAAGTCTGCAACCTGAACTCCACATCCCCCCGCTCCTCAACCCCACAAGACCTCAGAGCCTAGGAGCCCACTAACAAAGTCGGAACGATTTGTAGCAATGTTCGCAGGGTCCGTCTACACGAATACTAGGGTGCACTCCAAGCCGTAATACCTAAACCCATGAACCCTAAACCCTAAAATCCATCTGCCTCCGGCAAACGGCCAAAGAGGTGCAAAGCCAACGGCCACTGCCTGATCTTGATAGGCTGGCCTAAACGATTCAGGATGGCCCTTAATTAACAGAGCTCTTTCACCGAAGTGTGCAGGAGCTTCAATATTGGATAATATAGGGGCCTTTAATATCAGGATAAGATGTTGGAGTATACACTTGTTGCAGACTTGTGCAGCGGCTAAATGGCGATTTTCAGACCACTATATCAACACCAGCATTATCGGTAGTTACAGGTGTACATGTATGCTTTACGATTTTTAGCCGACACAATGAAGAGTGGAACATGCACTACAACCCTTAACGCGATCATTTAACGATCATGCACATACTGATTTTGTACACATCTAGCCTGCTAGGCCTGTTGCCACCATCAGTCGAGGGCACCCCAAACCCGGACCCATGCGCATCTGTTCGTCAAAAGCTTTCACCACGAAAGCACGCCCATGAAGGGACTTGATACTCAGAGCACTAGCTTTGACAATAACTTACCCTGCACTCTCTACTCCTAATTAAGACTTAGCCCGGCGGCTGACTTCGGCTGAGCGCCGAAATTGTCGCGTTGTACGCCACCTTTGTTGATTTGACGGTTCCCAGACTCAAGGTTCAGGGTTATACTGGTTTTATGGCAAATAGAAGTGCTTGGGTTATAGGGTAGTATTATAATGGGGTTATAGGGTAGTATTATAATGAAGTATACTTACATGTGGCATAAGATTTGTCTGGGGATGCCTGTACTGATATGTCAACGCCCTGTGTCCGAACCTCTCCTACGCTCTGCTCAAACAAACACGACACGGCGCCGTAGGAATCTGAAATCCCCAATCCCGTTATGCACCCGGGCTAGGGTTCGTGTTTTTCGGACTTGCGGGTTTAGGGTTTGGCGTTTAGGATGGCCCAGTATACAGGAGTCTTAACAACTGAGACGTGAATAAAGCTTTGGGGTATATGGTACATGAGTTCAATATAGAGGGATCATACAGGGGTAAGAGCTACGATTCATTCCGACCCCTTCCCTAGGCTAAGTGCAGCTTCGGCCGCGAGAGTCTGAGCCGGCGCAGCGTGGAAGAGCGAAAGCGACCTAACCCACTCCTCGGACTTGTCGGCTGCACATGGAACTGCGGAGGTCATGAAACCCTAAACCTTCCCAAACCCTAACCCTAAACTCCAAAAACTACATTAGAACATTAACCCGGGCGTTTGGTTTCTTAGGGTGTATTCTGAGTAGTCTGGTATCATTAAACGACCAGAAACCCCACAAGGAACAGCACTGGTACCTCTTCTAGCTTCTTTCCGACCTTGAAGCCCTTGAGACACCCGAACACTGGCTCCCAAGCCCAGAAGAACACGATGATGGCCTGTACTAGTAGTAGGCTCCATCACCCTCGTTTGCCCCGCCTTCTCTGTCGCTCAGGTCTGCAATGCCCAAACCATGATTAAACAGGCTCCATGCTACGAGCCCACTCATTGGCCAGTGCATCCATGCCCAAACTGTGATAACATTCATGCCACCAGCCCACTCATTGGCCAGTGCATCCATGCCCAAACTGTGATAACATTCATGCCACCAGCCCACTCATTGGCCAGTGCATCCATGCCCAAACTATCATAACGTCCGGCGATGGGTAGTAGTAGTAGTAGTAGTAGTAGTAGTAGTAGTAGTAGTAGTAGTAGTAGTAGTAGTAGTAGTAGTAGTAGTAGTAGTAGTAGTAAAAGTAGTAGTAGTAGTAGTAGTAGTAGTAGTAGTAGTAGTAGTAGTAGTAGTAGTAGTAGTAGTAGTAGTAGTAGTAGTAGTAGTAGTAGTAGTAGTAGTAGTAGTAGTAGTAGTAGTAGTAGTAGTAGTAGTAGTAGTAGTAGTAGTAGTAGTAGTAGTAGTAGTAGTAGTAGTAGTAGTAGTAGTAGTAGTCGTCGTCGTAGTAGTCGTAGTAGTAGTCGTAGTCGTCGCGGTAGTAGTCGTCGTGTAGTAGTAGTAGTAGTAGTAGTAGTAGTAGTAGCAGCAGCAGAAGAAGAAGGAGGAGGATGCGGGGAGCAACAGCGGAAGCAGCACTAGCAGCAAGGAAATGCATGGAAGCTGCAACGTCTCGTTGCAGAGAACCCCCCAAAACCACAAACTAAACACTGGCGCAGGTCTCTGCGTGTACTTCCCACCGGCTTTCAAAGGTTACCGAGTGGACCGTGTACGCTCGACATCAAAAGCCCTACCAAAGATCGACATGCTAGAGTCTCGGCCCCTGCCGCACGCTGTGATCGCAGCACCGTAGCACACCTGGATAGTTCACGAGATTCGGTTTCGGGGCTGCAACGAAGTCTAGCCCGGCTTTCGTATGTAAGATGCTATGTGCTTTATTCAGTTGCCGGTTAAACTCCTTAGATGAGATGCTCTGCGGCTCGCGGATACGCAGACTAGCCCCATACTTGTCTTCTGGAGTCAAACCTCTATTGTGTTCCTTTCCCAAGTCGTAATCAGCGCTGCGTCGACTCGGAGAAGAAGAAGACATCGTGGGCATCAAGTGCATTGGGTCTTTCAAGAGGAGTTTTAAAGGTTTCAACGACCAATAATAAGGCTCGGTGCTTCGACGACACATGCCAACGCCTGTGAACATGGCCACAGTGTTCTGAGACTATGAATGAAGCGATCAAAGTCAGATAAGTTTCTCCATGGACTAGTGCTTGATGCAGGTAGACAGAAGCAGACTCCACAGCATAAACATACAGGAATGTGGGTGCATTGTGCTTGAACCATAAACCCCGAAACTGTAAAACCTCAAAATTGAAACCCTAAAACCTACAACCTCTAATAAGACTCTGAACCTACCTAGAGGCTCCAAAGTAGTTCCTTTTTGGGGTTCATATATAGAATCCTATAAGGTATTCCCCAAAAGGAACTACTATGGAGCCTATGGGTAGAGCCCTAAACTAACGAAGTCCGGAGACGGCGTCTGCTTGCAGAGAGCATCGCTGCATCTCCTCGAAGCATTGAAGGCCATATAGGGCTTGCAGTTTAGATTCAAGATTTTTGAGTTAAAGTTTGGGGTTGAAGGTTTAGGGCTGAAGTTTGAAGGTTCAAGGTTTAGTTTAGGGGTGAAAGGCTTCGGTTTCAAGGTTTCGTTGGGTTTTCTCAGGGCGCGGCCACCCAGAACTCTAAGGTCTGAGCCACACCCTGAACGATGCAAACTCGACGAAATCCACTTTAAACCTCCCGCGCAATTTCAATAGCGAGAGAACTTACCCGGAGGCCCCATAGTAGTTCCTTTTTGGGATTACCTCATTCTAAATATGAACCCCAAAAAAGGAACTACTATGGGGCCTTGGGGTAGCACATAGAATCAGAAAAAAAAAAAACAAGAAATTCCGCAAAGGCTCGTCCAAAAGCTGCAGGGGAAGCTGCCAGTGAGATCCCGCGGCTCCCATCACCATACTGTACGCCTTCAAAAGCCTGTGCTTCTTCAAGGCTTTTGGTAGAGTTCGGGAATAGGAAATCATGGGAGCTTATGGAAGTTTAGGGTGGTAGCGGTTTTTGGGGTTTAGGGATTGAGTTGTGATGTTGATTCGGATAGCAGCAGCTGACATGAAACCTCCGTTCTAAATGCCTGGTCCCACACAGGAGGGTTGTTCCGACGTTGCATGCTCTATTCTAGGCCACAAGTAGGCTGACCTCATGTAGAGACCTACTTGCCCATCAGAGACACGTCCTTTCCTTTAAACTCCTATCAATGGCTTTAATCAACTGGCCGACACTCTCCTGACGATCATGATGTATAAAAATATAGGGCCTTAATCATTAGAAAAGGCTTTTGGGGCCCATTCTACTATACGAAGTTATAATAAGGAACACCGAAAATGGTATAGCTAATTAGTTAGGCCCCTATATATACTTCCTAACCAAAGCCGAAGATGTAATCATTAACAGCCCCTGCTCTTCCTGTGGATCTCCGTTCTTTCCAGGCCAGAGGCACCTCGTCAAAAATAGGGGCCCTGGTAATAGTCAGAATACGGTTTTGGAACATATTCATAGTATAACCAGAACCCTGTTGCAGTACAGCATAAGTATACCCGGAGGACCATAAAGGAACACGATTAGTAATTATTAAATTGTTCCAGCCCCGCACAAGCCTTGCTGTGGAAAGGACGAATCCGCGATTGCAAATCGCACCGACACTGCAACACTGGGTTCGTAAGATCTCGGTCATCCCAGAGTACAAGGATATGCGGCAAAGGACAGGCGTTTCGCATCATGTAAACTTACATGAAGTAACAGCCCTGAATGCCTAATGTAGGAGCCTTTATTAATTTTTCAACAAGGGTTCTGTGCATGTCGCAGTATCGTCATGATACGAACCCTAACCCTGAATACTTACGAACCGTCATTAAATTCAGACCCCCCCAAACCCAGTCGAGCCCAGAAGCCCTTCGCGCGGGAAGTCCGCATCTGCCTGTGCCGAGACGCGTGTGGGGCTTCTGGCTCGATTGCGTGTGGCTCGGAGCACCGACAAACCCACAAATCAGGACGATAATCCCGTATGGCAAGGCGCACTAAGCCAGAAACACGAAACATTTAGCCTTCTAAAGCGCGACATGACATGCAAGATTCCGCAAAAGCACCCTCCTTCATGAGCATATGGTTGAACTCCTGATTCCTCAGCCTAATGCCACATGAAGCAACCCTTGCAATCGGAAAGCGGACAAAGACTTGGAACTACGATGGCCTTAACATAGCCAAAACCCAGAGCCTTAACCCCCACAAGAACCTCTGTAAATAGTTCTAAACCCTTTTTGGGGTGGTTGTCAAAACTATGGTCCCTTTTTGGGTCCCTTACAGGGTACCCAAAAAGGGACCCCTATTTTTGACAACCGCCCTTTGGAAAGCCCCATGTAAACCCGGCTCCACTCCTTTACATTGTCTCACTGAGTTCCTTCAGATCACGGCTCGGAGCTCAATAACGTATATAGGTATTGTCAAAATCATGGTCCCTTTTTGGGTCCCTATTGTAGTACGGCACCTAATATTTAGGGTACCCAAAAAGGGACCATAATTTTGACAACTACCCATATCAAGTCCTGGTCTACCAGGAATGAACTACCCCAAGCACAAGGCCCCAAAGTAGTTCCTTTTTGGGGATCATGTTTAGAATCTTATGAGGTAATCCCAAAAAAGAACTATATACTATGGGGCCCTGGGTAGACGCTGGGACATTCATCTGCAAAGGGGTTTAGAAGTTATGGCTCCTTAAATAAATCACGCTGAAGCCGCAATTTGTCTCGGGATCCGTATCTTGACAACCTTCAACTCTAACCTCAAGCCTCGAACCCGAAACCTGAACCAAAAGCCAAAACCGCCCCCAGTTCTGCTTGGGTTCGAAATTTATAGATCATAAAGTCATGTGAAGCTCTTGATGTGCTTTGCCCTGAGTAACTAAGATGGCCCGCTATTGAAGCACAACCGACACTACAGGCCGTGGAGCCTGCAGGGTAGCCAACAATTGACAGGCTGGCTCCCATCGCTTGCCGCGCGCGTGGGCTGCTAGCTCCTGTCGGGAGCTCCGTGGCGCAGAACCCGCGATCTGCTTCTTTCCAAGGGTAAAAGGAGGGACCCTTAATAACGACCCCTAGGTATATACCCTTAAAATAGCTGTTATATACCCATTGTATAGCCCATTATAGGGTAGGGGTCCCATTAAGGGTCCCTCCTTTTCCCCTTTGATTCTTTGAACAAATGACTTAACTCCCCCTATATGCTCTGGCAAATTACAGTAACTTATCGCATCTTAGAGTATCTTATAGTTCACTACTGATAGCATCTTATAGTATCTTACAGTTCACTACTTATAGCACCTTATAGTATATCTTATAGTTCACTACTTATAGCACCTTATGGTATCTTATAGTTTACTAGTACCCTGGGACCCAAGAGTTCAAGCTTCCGGTAGAAGATCTGTCCCCTGAACCAGGAATTGGATATGCTACTGCGCGACACCGGACAACCCTGGGCGTCAGCCACAAGTTGGGAGTTTCTGGAAATTAGAGGTACCTTATTCGGGGGTCCTTATAATAAGGATCCTACTATTTACGGTGCTGCATTAGGGTCCCCTATTTTCGGAAACTCCCAGTTCGCAACCAGCACAAAGATCTATAGTAAATACCCATAGGCTCCATAGCAGTTCCTTTTTGGGAATACCGTATAAGATTCTATATATGAACCCGAAAAAGGAACTACTTTGGAGCCTCTAGGTAATGCGGTTTCCTTACTATGGTAACTGAACGTAAGCTCATCAGCATGAGCCCAGCTTGGGGCTATGGGGGCCAGTAGAAGCGCTCAACATGGACCGAAAACTTTGCATCAGCCTCCCAGCCTTGGAAGTTAATGGCTAGGGGCTTTACTTACCTTCGGTCAGTAGGGAATGGAGGAATGGGGTACAGTTATAACTACTATTACTACCATTCTTCCATTCCCTACAAACCAAAGGTAAGTTTCGGAGTGTTGACCATGGTCTTCGTTCGGAGATCCGCGTAGATTCGAGATGAAGGTCTTGCATGACCTGGGTCTCGAAAGCCCTAAATCCACAACCCCGAAACCCTACCTAGAGGCTCCAAAGTAATTCCTTTTTGGGGTTCATAAATAGAATCCTCTAAGGTACTCCCAAAAAGGAACTGCTATGGAGCTTATGGGTACACCCTCGCCCGCAGCCCCTCAGTCCGCTTACTAAGGTCCCCATAATACTCGTAGCAGACCCTCTTTGGGCCCAGAAGCCTCCAAACACGAGTCCTTAGCGCCCTCGAGGACAGCATAACCCCATAACCCCCCCCCCTACGGTTGATGATAAATCCTCCATTACCCATAGTAAGGAATATACCATAGTTCGTTTAGGGTCCTTAAGGTAATGCAGGATTTATACCACCCCCCCGCTATCAAAACACACATTGTTCAATCATTCGTCGTTAGTTCTGTTGGCGATAGGCTGAACCATTACCATTCCTTACAGTTTCTTCTACTCTCTTGTATAGCCTAGAACACGATTAAAATTATTGGCGATCATGGAAGCCTTACATTAATCCTTAAAGATAGAACTGGGTTCCTTTAAAGGGTTCTCTGACAGAACCCTTTAAAGGAACCCTATTCTAGTTTCTGTGTCATAAGGGTAGGGCTGATAGCTCTGCTTCACCCACTTGGCCTTGGCCGCCTCCGAACCCAGCCGCCCAAGTGGAGGCATGCCTACACCAGCAGCTATGCAAGTTCGACAGTGAAAGGTAGGGTTGAGGGCTTGCTTAGAGTTTGGGGTAGGGCTGTGGGCTTTTAGTGGTTTCGTTGCTGGTGTTTTTGATGGGCTATGTCTATCGGCCCCGGCGTAAAGGCCTATCCAGCATCCAAAACACCCAGGGTTGTGAACTTTCAGGGCTTAAGGTTGCGGGTGTTCGGGTGTAGGGTGTGGGGTTGAGGATTCAGGATCAAAGGTCGCAAGATGGAAGCTTTGTCTAGAGGCGGGGTAGAGATCGCATTGGGCTACGTTTTCGTTCCCAAGATCTTGCAAATGCCACATTGAAAGCGAGAACTCAGCACTGCTGTAAGACCTGCGGAAGTCCGAATCCTCACCCAGATAGACCTTATCCGATTTCAGCCCCCAAGCCCGGAAGTTCACCTCAACAGGGGCTCAGAGGACAGGGTGAGAGCTGACAGCGAGAATAGAGGAGTGCTGCAGCAGTGAGAAACACTTCTGGGGTTTCGGATCTTCCTTCTACTTGTCGGGGATCATGGGGAACTGAAGGTTAACCTTTTTGGTTTTATAGGGATTATATAGGGACTATACTACCCAAAATAGGTTGAAGGTTACCTACTCTACTACTAGGTCCTTCAAGCAACAAGGCTTCTCGGGAAGTGTCCTTGACGAAAGGACTTGCAATCTTAGGTTGGCTGAACGAAATGCGCCCGAGCGCCCCCTCCAAACTCCCAGCCCAAGTATTTCAGTTAAACCCCAAACCCCAAGCCCTGGACCCTGGAAAATATACGTCCTTCATCCCAAACCCTGCGAGTTCTTTGCTGGAGTGGCTCAGGAGCCGACGCCGAGGATGCACGGACGCGTCGCGAAGTCATGGCTCCGGATGTTTGGTTTTGGATTCGGGTCGCGGGGCTTCAAATCTACGCTGTGCATAGTACAATGTTTGAAGGTTGCAGGCTTTGGGGTGCGAGGTGTAGGGCTTAGGGCTTAGGGACTTTCAGTTTGCCTATGCGAGTGAGTTGAGGCTATAACCCGCAGATTCATGGGAAAGGTTTGCTATCTGCTTATATGAGAAGCTTCGGTTAACATCTGTGCAAGTCGGTCTCGCTCCAAGACTTCAGAATACTACAGCCTTCCAAAGGTTGGGCCTAGCGAAAACTCCGGGCGTTCTGAAATCCAAGCCATGGGGAAGAAAGTACAAGTCGAGGGGACCCCACACACCCCAAACGTAACACCTCCAGAGCCAGAAAACCACCCAAAAAACCCAAACCCTGTGAAAGGGGGCCATGTGAGATCTTCGCAGAGGTCACCGGCTACCCAAACTTACCAGGCTGAAACTTAAGCCGCCGATTTGAACTTGAAACCTCCAGGCGAGAAAGTGCCGAAGTCCAGGGTTCGTGTCATAGTATGAGCCCCTAAGTAAGAAGTCCCCTGCAACTTCTATATAGGGCCCTTACTAGCTGACATTGTTGACATGAGCTCTGATAGTTTACCTCGCCGTTTCGGCATGGTGGGCTTCAGCCTCCTCTGAACTCATCTGGGTACAGGGACTCACGACTCACACACGTTTTTCTTCTTCTCAGTCAGGGCATCAGGGCGCCGGTGCCGTAAGGTGCCGTAGCCCGTAAGAGCGCCGACACCGAGAGCCTGCGTTGGGGTGTCAGCTTGGTAACGAATGCAGAAAGGTGCTTAAGAATTAGACGAGGATGCGGGGGGCATCATCTACTGCAACTAGAAACAAAACCTCTGATTGTTCAGATGTTTCGGGCCTGCCAGCGAAGGATGAGCTGCAAATTGGATTGGTTTAGGGTGGGTGCTACATTGTACTAGTAGTGAGTCATGTTCGGTCAGCCGTTAGTTTCTGTTCTCTAGTCTATATAGGTAGCCGGTCTTCCTGAAAAATGAAATCTGCGAGTCGAACCCTTCGGGCTGCCTTAAGGGTTTGCACAGGGCTCCTGATTCAGAGCTGCACCTGGTCCGTTCGAGCATGGGCGGCTCAAAAATCGTGAAGCCTTCAGGGCAACCCTAAACCCTGAAGGTCAGACCCTAAGCAGCCGAACCCTAAGCCTCCAATCTGAACTCGAAACCCCTACCCTAAACCCGAAAAACCCAAGATCCTTAACGCCTGAACGAGCCCTCAAAACCCAAGAACCCTTCAACCTAAAGCGCTACGCAAGCTATGCGGCTAACCTTTGGGCCTATCGAGATTTTGGACGAGGCTCTCGGAGGGGTTGATTAAGATGTCAGGCTTTAGCTTGCGCAGCTGTTGGATTTTTAGGCTGTAGGGTTTAGAGCTCATGATTGGTGTTTCTTCGGGTTACAGCCTAGTGAAGACTAGTCGGGGATTACGGGTGTAAGGTTGAGAACATTTTGTTGCGCTCTTCAACGAGGCCTCTTCCCATGGTTGTCTTTAGCATGCACGGGGCCTCGAAACATCTGTCCGAGCCCAAAGCGATTTGGAAAACGCAGGGACTTTCTTCATCCACCTTTCTCTTCGGTTTGAGGTTCAGGGTGGTTTAGGGGCTGCGCGATACCCACTCCTAGTGAGTTGGTAGAATGGAAGCATGCGCAGTAAGAAGATGGAATCTTTTCTGTTGTCATCGCGCACGTCAGCCGTTTACGCGATGGACGCGACATTGTAAAATTCACGGAGCGAGGGATGCTTATGAAGATGATTCTGCACGGTGTAGCCCTTGTTCTGCGCCTCCATTTGAAAAGAGCTTCAAAACCCCTCCAACTTACTTTTGTGGATGAATGATCCGCTGCGGCAGAAAGCAGGACAAAACGTCCGGCCGAGGTGCAAAAGCACCCACGAAGGCGACGGACGGGTTGTGGGGGGTCACAGGAATCCCGATGATTTGGAGTTTATAGGCCTTCGGTATAACCCCTCCTGGTTCCTAGAGCTTCAACCCTCAACTTTCTGCGCGTGTACTACCAAGGCCTGGGATGCGGAATTGATGGTTCAGGGGGCCTACCTGGACCCCAAGAGTATGTAGAATAATAGCCTTTTATGGGTATTGGGCCATTATTTTACCTACTTTGGAGGGTTTAGGTACACATAAGGATGAAGTGGTGGGGGGAGGGGTCGAAGAAAAATGCTCCCACTGGGACCGCTGTCAAGGATGCAACGACTGGAACCCTTGAACGGGGCCCGATCTCGCCCCATCCCATGCTAGATTCTAGCTTGAAACTGATACTATCTGACGTATGTTACTTACAACAGTAAACGCAAAATCATCCAAAAGAACCTACTTGGAAGGGGTCTAGGTAGCAGTTCGCGACCACCCTCAAGCCACATTCCCAGGCTGTAAGACAAGACTCCTTTTGCTATCTTCACCGACTGGAAACCTGCTTCAGAAACCAACGACTCAATGCCCCTAAACCCTAAAACCTCAGTATGCCTGCAGTTGGGCAAACCGTAGATTACAAGCGAGATCTTTGTCACAGGACCCTTGGTCAAAGGATGCTTTGATAGCAGAGTGCCCAACAACTAACACTATTCCTCAGGCTATTAGGGTTCGTTATTATAGTATAACAATACAATATGATAGAACAATTGCGCCTCAACATCCTACTCTAATTCAAAATCAGCTTATGCACACAGCTCGCTCTTCCTGTGACGGGCCGGATGCCCCTTGCCACAACCTCCGTACACAGAGAGAATGGGGGTTTCAAAAAACGAGGGGCTCCAGTATCAAAAAAACTGTTTTTTTTTTTTGTTGAGGGCTCTTTTCCGACTGCAGAACAGCTAGAATTCCTTTTAGGGTTTAGGGCTTTAGGGGTTTAGGGCTTTTGGGTTTTAGGGTTTAGGCTTTTGGGAACTACTTGTCTGGTTCCATGGGGAACTAGAGGTTAACCTCTTTGGTTATATAGGGATTATATAGGGACTATACTACCCAAGAAGGGTTAAAGGTTACCTACTCTAAAACACGGGGCTACATAGACGGACGCTTATCGTAAAGCCCATATCAAAAAGGACCCCTCGTTTTGAAAGAATCCCCCAAATGCACCTGGAGCGCACGGGAGCTGCCAGTGACAGTCACTTAAGGTAGTCATCTGTCAGGCTGTTGCCGGCGCGAAAAATCGTGAGACAAGGGCAAGCGATGTCCACAAGCACCAGAACTCGCACAGTGTAGTTAACTCAGTAAAATAGGGTTTAAGGAACCATGAGGAAACATAAGCACTATCCTATGGCTATATTGCGGAAGCCGGAAGGTTTGGGGTCTAATCTAGAGCTGAAAACGAGTCTGATACCTGCCCAGGAACCTGAAGAAGTGAAGACTTGGTCGTTGCCTACTACGATAGATCCTCCAAAATATCAGATCAGGGCCGCTAAATCCAGGGACCCCTGATTCGATGACGCCGCCATCTTGAGCATGGTGCGTGGAGTTATTTCCACCTCGGGGTGGCCCGGCGGGAGGCTCAGAAATTCAACACTACCTGTAGCCTCCATTGTAGTTCCTGTTTTGGTTTCACCAAATATGAGCAGCACCCTATAAGGTAATCGACTATAGACAGTCTTCTTGCTGAGTTGATCGGTCTGCCCCCGCAATTCTGTGCTCCTGATGGCACTCAGGGCCTCAGGGCCGGCAATCCTCAATGGACCTGGTCAAGCTACCCATATGGTCTCCCTTGTGGCTACTGTTTTGGGCTGCCTTGTTTCTTATCGTGGGATCCGATTCAAGAACCCCAGCCGGCACCCCCGTCCCCTAAACCCTGAACTAAACACCCTTAAACCTGAACCACCAAAACAACGCTGCCTCTACGACGACGACGACGACGACGACGACTACTACTACTACTACCAACTACTACACCTGCTACTACTACTACTACTACTACTACTACTACTACTACTACTACTACTACTACTACTACTACTACTACTCCTACTCCTACTCCTACTCCTACTCCTACTCCTACTCCTACTCCTACTCCTACTCCTACTCCTACTGCTACTGCTACTGCTACTGCTACTGCTACTGCTACTGCTACTGCTACTGCTACTGCTACTGCTACTGCTACTACTACATCGGAGACTGCAGGTAGGCCCCCCCTTCGTGAGAGCTCTGAATGGCTCAGCGCGTGGAGGAGACGCCATTGTCCATCATAAACTTCCGTGCGATCCGGAAGATCAAATCCTCAGCTGGTCTGGGGCTTGGGGTTTAAGGTTTTAGAGTTTAGGGTCTTAGGATACATAGACATAACTATGAACACACAAATATAAGTGCACACATATTTATAACGAGAGATAGAGAGAGGGCGGAGGGTCTAGGGTTTAGGAGTCTATGGTGACTTTAGGGGCGGGTTTGATCACAAAACTTCCAAGAAAAATAAAAGCCCTCATCGGCAGCCGCCTGAACATGACACAACTTATCTCAAGACATCCTCGTTTTAAGCTCCAATTCTCTCTTTCCTCTCTAAACCCTAAACCCTAGTAACTATAATCCGGAGCTGGTTATATAGTTTTTAAAAGCAGGTCGCACCGCCGATTCGAAGAGGAAGGTAGTCCACGTACATCACCTGCAGGCAGCAAGTATAGAGGTCGAGGTGCGTCGGAGTTCAAACAACCCTTTGGCGCAGGACCAAGAAGACACGCAACCCTTCCCGGTAAATGGCAGTTACCCCTAACCAACTTGTTAGAGTTCGCGAGAAAGCAAGCAACGCCCCTGAATCCATTCTCCCTCATCCAACCCTAAACCCTAGTAGAACAGGCTGTAGTCCTACGAGTCAAAACTACAAAAGAGTCGTCAGAGTGGCCCTTGCCCATTTTCGGTGTATGGCACCCCCAAGCCCCCACCCTAGGACAAATCCAACCCCAACATCTCAACACCAATCTATGATCACATGCTATCCCGATCTCTAAGTCAATCCTAAACCCTAAACCCCTACACCCTAAACCCAAACCCTAAAGCCTCAAGTGCTCTACACCTGTAGTAGTTGCAAGGAATTCCCGCAGAATGTGGCAGGATTGGAGTTGGGGATTTGTGCAAAACCCCATCCCAACAACCAAACCTAAACAACCAAACACCCGAAAACCCCCACCTTCCAAAACAAAAAAATACCTGCTTCGCGGCAATTTTGGTATATGTATACATATATACACATGTATATAAATAAATAAATATAAATATGAATAAATACAAATAAACATAAATAGACACAAAAAGATACAAATAACAACAAATAAATATAAATAAATATATATATATATATATATATATATATACACACACACACACACACACACCCAAGGCAGCCTTCAGTGCGCTCGCCAGCTCCGGGACTTTGGCTCCAACGAGCCTCGGCTGGGGGATTCAAGAAATCGGGGCCTTGATCGTTAGAAAAGGGCTCCTTTAACTAACGGAATCCCCAAAAAGGGCTCTATAAGGAGGGTTCCTTAGAAGGGATCATAGGGCTCCTTTAGCGGAATCCCAAAAAGGCTCTATAACAGGCGTTAGAATAGAATAGATGCACTAGATGAATAGGGCTCCTTTGAAGGAATCCCCAAAAAAGGGCTCTAACAGGCGTTAGGATAGATGAAGAAGGCTCCTTTAAAGGAATCCCCCAAAGGGCTCGAAAAGGAGGGTTCCTTAAGGGCTCCTTTAACGGAATCCCCAAAAGGGCTCTATAACAGGCGTTAGGATAGATGAAGAGGGCTCCTTTAAAGGAATCCCACAAGGGCTCGAAAAGGAGTTTTCCTTAAGGGCTCCTTTAAAGGAATCCCAAACATGGCTCTACAAGGAGGGTTCCTTAGAAGGGATCATAGGGCTCCTTTAAAGGAATCCCAAAAAAGGGCTCTACAAAGAGGGTTCCTTTGAACGGATCGTAGAAAAGCTCTGTAAGAGGATTCCTTGAAAGGAATCTAGAAGAGGAGAGATCCTGAAGGGGCTTTACAAGGGTTTCCTTTCAAGGGATCCTAAGCGGCTACTTGAAAGGGATCCTCGAAGGACCTACAAGAAGGAACCGCGAAGAGCACTATGATGGTTCTGCTATATGGGTGCTTACATCGGAGATTGACATGGGAGCCTTCAGAATTAGAATGGGGCTCTTCTCATGCATTCCGAAGCGGAAAAACAGCAACATAACTCAGCACGAAAAAAAAGAAGCAGTCCTACACCCGAAACCCATGACGTTGCCCCAAGGCCTACAGTGTATCGGTAGCCCTGAACCTTGCCCCCTAAACCCTCCTTTAAAGCGGCCGCGCTGCAAACCTTCAAGGATTTCTGCTTTCCGCGAATCTGCCTCGAGAGCCTGCGATGGCTTCGCTACAAAAGGCGAGGCGTCAAGTCCGGATAAGGGCTTACCCATAGGCCCCAAAGTAGCTCCTTTTTGGGGGTTCATATTTAGAATCTTATGAGGTAATCCCAAAATGGAACTACTATGGGGCCTCTGGGTAGGGTGTAGGGCGAATACCACCACTGCTACTGCCACCAAGGTCCAGCCAGGGAGCCTTGCGTCAGGAAAGAGCCTATATACCCGGGTTTAGGGTTTAGGGTTTAGATGGGTTTAAAGCTTAGAATACAATTCCTGCATTCGCCAAACCCTTCGGCCCCAAGTAGATAGGTTCATGGATGCTTTGAGTCAAAGGGTTCGCGCTCAGGGAAATTTGGGTTTTTGTTGGCCTCAGGGCCGTCGGATCTACGAAATTGAAGATATTGCGCTGTCCGGTGTGTCGGGTTTTGGGGCAAAGGGCCATGATTAACGCCAGGACGCCTATGATGCCCAATCCTTACACCAGCAAAACTCTGCACATTAAGCCCTGGCCCCAACTTCAAACCCTGAAGCCTTTACACCCTTTCAAAATCCTAGATCCCAGCGACTAACCCCTTACTCAACACAAGACTAAATCCTAACTCAAATCTGAAGGGCTCTCGATACCCCAAAGCCTCCGATCCTGAACCCTCGCAAGAAGCTGACAAAACCCGACAAAGGCTGTAACACTGAATTACTAATCTACTTTTTTATGTACCATGTAGAACAAACAGCTCGAAACCGATGCCTTGCGACTGGCATCCGATCCCTCCCAGGAACGTATCGTCTCCAGGATGTCTTCGAAACGCCTCGCGCATTTTCAGGGGGAGGTCGCCGGGGCTAAGGGGTGATTGTTGTTAGGCTGAGACCTTGCGATGCCTTAGTAGTTTCACCGAGCTTTGGTGTAGATTATTGTTAGTTGTAAACTGACAAGGTAAGGGGATATTACTCACTCCTATAATTATTCAAACCTTAAACGCAAAAGAGCCAAAACCTGTAGAGCCTTTTCTCCTCTGCGCGTCTCGAAGGAGCTTCTGGCAAACAATCTGCCTTCGATGCTTCAGATCCTTGAGGGCTTCTGAGTGAAGGTTGGGCTTAGGCTTTGGGATTCAGGGTTTAGGGCTTCGGTTGAGTGTTGGGGTTCAGAGTCTAGAACTTACCACTTAGGGCCGAAAGTATGGGGTTCGAGGATGATCACGAAGGGTTCGGGGTTAAGGCGGAGGTCCGGCAACCGATGAAGGTGCCAGAAGGGATGGCGGTCTTTGTGCACACACTTTGGGATGCATACCATCACCATTTAAATCACTTGAAACTCAAGGCGGGATCTGCCACCTTGCGGCATGAACGAGTATGGTCCGCCGCACCCTCGGGGCTCCAGTTGCAGGTTACGGGATTCGCTAAGATATATGACTATCTATGTGTATAATATATATATATATATATGTATGTATACTGTATATGTGTATATATATATATATATATATATATTATATAGTTACCCGGAGGCAAACGGAGCAGACGCAGCCCGAAGAAGGGCTGCTGTCTTGGCAACTGGAGCAAAAGAGCCGACACAACAACTCTCTCCCTACTTCCTGCACGGCTCGCTCTCCACGTCCATCACGACTTGCTCCTGCAGCAGGTGGGCAGCCGCTTTGGGACTTCTTGAAACATCGGGGTGGGGGGTTTTGGGGTTTCAGAGAGTCTGGAACCGAATTGCCAAAAAAACTGTGGACCTCAATATACACCCTAAATCATGGGATACAAGACAAGCCCCCCAAGCTCAAGAATCCCAAAATCAGAGTTAATTGACCAAGAGGTCTGGTCTGCTGGTAACGCCTCTGATGGCACTGGTGCGGAAAAGGGTTGCTGGGAGTGATTGCGGATGATTTTCCTGGGATCCGTTTTATCAAGAGCCTGGGCAGCCCGAGAAGCTTTAAACCCCTTACATGCGAATCCTGAACCCGTGATTTAACAACTTTCAACATGACCCAGTGTAAAATAGGCAAGCTCTTGCAATCTCACACCCTTTCGGGTCCAACTTCAGTGTCGACTCATTGCTGGCAAGCCTGAGGGCCTTTTCAACGTGCAATCAAGGTCAAAAGCCGGACTCCCCCTTGTCCCCTTCTGGCGAGTTCGTTCCTGGAAAAGAGATGCTCGACTTCAGCGACCTACAACACATGCCTGCCCAGCCTCGGGTCCCTCCCGAAGCCATGCAGGGCCCAATACAGGGCGCATCTTACAATCCGCGAAGCCCTAGACCGCTTAACCCTCAACCCTATAAATCCTTACAGCAAAGTAAGACCCAGTTGGCTCCCACTGATTTGCAACCGTCCCTGATAGACACAGAAGCCCAATATCGATGAGTTGGGGAATAAGCCTGTAAGTGCACAGTTGTGCCTCAGACTTAAGGAAGCTAAAGCAAGGCCTGATGATATGACGGATAGCCCTTCAACAAAGGATATTGGGCTCTCCGGGTAAGAGTCCCCATCGTCCAACTTTGACTCCAAACACAGTCAGTCCTCTGCGCCCGAACCTGAATGGCCCGGTATAGATGCGGCCGCCGCTGCAGAAACAAAGGTCGCCCAAACAAAGGTCTCCTGCCAAGGAACCCTAAGATTTAGGGTTTAAAGTTTAAAGGTCTACACCCTCAGTCCTGAACTCTCGAATACCCGTCAACAGAGTTTTTATGGCCCTCAATACTTGGTGCTTGGATGATTAAATGAATACAGTGCACCTGGAAGATCTTGGTGGAGATTTCTACGTAAATTCATAAACACACACACACACACACATACAAACACATATGCAAGGTAAAAGCAACCGCAAATTCACACTCGCATGCACGAAATGCTTCAGCAGCAAATGAGGCAGCAACAGCAACGACCACCACCACCACCACCACCACCACCACCACCACCACCACCACCACCACCACCACCACCACCACCACCACCACCACCACCACCACCACCACAACAACAAGCACAAGCATAACCACGACAACACAACATACGACAAACACAACCACCGCGACGACGACCGCGACAAACCGAAACCGGGGGGCGAGAATGACGACGACGACGACGACGATGACGTCGTCAACGGTGCCGGCAGCGCAACAACAGCGAGATCATGCCTTCAGCAAGTCCCGTAAGTATCACTGTTGCATCAGACGCAGTCCAATAGAAATGCTCACAAAAATTCTCTTCTTCCGGTGATTGCAGGCGACTTCGCACGACCCGAAGTCACACCTGGCCAGCATCTGCCGCTGCACGGAGGAGGGGCGTTCCCGGCCTCGTCCACGCGATTTGGGACAGAACGGCTTGATCAGGGTCTAAGGTTGAAGTCGTTAAGGCTTGGGCTTGGGCAAAAATATGATGTTTAATGTTTTTCTTGGGGTTTATATAAACAAACATATACATAATTCCTAAAGAGACTATAGAGTCCAGCCTCTAAGGCCTTGCGGCGAAGGGGCCTTTTGGCGGCCAAATGGCCCCTTCAACCTACCCTAAGGCCCCAAAGTCGTCCCTTTTTGGGGCTCACATTTAGAATCTTATAAGGTAGTCCCCAAAAGGAACTATACTATGGGGGCCTCTGGGTAAAGCGACACCAGCCGCTCTCGGAATGGTAGTTCGTCACAAGACCATTTGGGAATTTCCGAAAATAGGGGACCCTAATACGGCACCCTAAATAGTATCATCCTTATTATAAGGACAAATTTTCGGAAACTCCCATTTCGCCTTCGCCTGCATGCCTTCGCGGAAGCCTTGACGTCGGCTAATGTAGGAACCTGATTAAGAAACCTTGGGCCTGTATTAGGGTGGCCTACTATTTGGAGTTATTGGCCCAGGTTCTCTTAATCAGGTTCCTACATTAGTCTGTGGCGATGAGCACGTCTGTCTAATCCCTTTGTCTTTGCAAGTGTCAGGTTGCCGCTGAAGCCAGCGATCGATCAACCCCTATGTCACTCTCAACCCGGGCTGAAAAAACCATGCTGCCTTTTTTCAGCTGCTAGTATACACCAGTCTCTAGCTGGTTCAAAAGCAGTAGGCATGCAAAGGCTGACACTACGGTTGTGATGGCTAACCGTGCCGAGCAGGCCATGCAGGGACACGGTCAAAATTCTGCTCACATTGGAGGCAGGGCCCCACTACAGGGGCCTCTTCGCAAGCGCAGTGGTTGTCACTACAGTTTGCGAGGTACCATCTGTCATGTTATGAATGGCTGGTTTGGAACATAGTAGAGTTTGCAAACCAGAACAACATTACCGGGAAATGGCTCGCATCTTCTGCTTCAAGAACTATGTATAAACCCTGTGAGACCCTGTCAAAGAATACTGAAGTTTCCTTAGCTTCAGACCGTTGCCACTGTTGCTTGCTGACCGAGAGTCGTTCTAGCCTTGGCATGTGTGAATTTGAGACTGGCCTCGAACTGTCAAGACTTCATTGGCTCTTTCATCGACCGAACCACTTCTTACGTCCGTAGTAACCCTTTGGCGATGGCGATGGGGAAGGACTCGGACTCGGGTCGGGATCGAACGTGCTGTCCACTACTTGGATCCACTGGATGTATCCTTGCAACGTGATGTTGTAGTTGTCCTTGAAGTAATCCACGGCGTTAGTAGAATCCTGATCGTACATGTAGGCATAAGGGACCGAAGGCACAATTGGCACAATGGCGTTTTCGTAAATGTCCCACGTACATGCTGGCGACTCGGTCGAGCAATCGGAGGTCGGCACGAGCTCCAGTGTGTAGCCATTGCTGTAGAGCTGTGGGGAGATCCAGTCAAGATTTGGATCTGCAAGCCAACCCTCGACGACCTCGGCGGCATTGCAGTTGGTACATCCCAAAGGCGCACTGTGGCTTGTGGTAATACCAACCATGAGGCCGGCAGCCGACAAGTTTGCAGTGGCTCCGTAAAAGTCCTCTATGAGGTCTGCGGAAGTCGCCTCTGCCTCGACATACTCCGAGTCGAAGATGACCCCATCGAAGCCTGCTGATCGGATGCTTGCAGCTAGGCCCACTGTACCACTCAAAACCGTCCTGTCCGTGGTCGTACCAGCTCCTCCGACCGTCATCCACTTGGTGCAGGTAACGTCAGAGCCACTGCAGATGTAAGGAATAACGCCCTGGGAGATGCAGTAGTTCAGGTTGGTTTGGGCATCTGTGTATCCACTGAAACAGATTCCCATGGTTTGGTTTTCTGGTCCAGGGATGGTATCTGACACTCCATTCCATGCCCAAGCCCAATAGCCGACCATCAAGTCCCGCTTGGACCTCTCGGACTTTCGCACTTGCACCACTGCACTTTCCTCACACTCTCCGCTGGGGCATGACGCGAAAGCAAGCGCCGCCGGAAGGAGCGCCAAAATCAAGGCCTTCACCATGTTGCTACCTGCGATTCTTTTGAAAACTCTGAGAGACGAACAGCGCTTGAGCCAAGTCTCGGGTCATAAAGCCAACGGCATTGAAACCTGCACGAAGTTCTGACACAAGGTTCTGATATCTAGCCAAACAGTTCCGAGGCATCCAAGGCGCCAGGGAGTGGGCTCCGCCAGCGCTGGCGGAAGTGCCGCGAGAAGGGCCGGCTTCTCGAGAATGCTGCCCTTGTGTTTTCGATTGGGTTTTAGGGTTTACGCTTCAGGATTCGTAAGGGTTAACTTATCAGATCAAACGAGTGCACACAGATATTTGCAGGCCTGCCTTCCTACCGGCGTCTATATACATGCGTACATACACTCAAAGTAGGCACACATACGGCCGGACGACCGGAAAGAGAGACTCACAGACAGACAAGCACACATCCATCCATGCATGCTGGCATAACTACGCACATGTACATGCTTGCATGCGTGTACAATCACAGGTACATACATACATTTGCGACCCCTACCTCTCGACCTACCTACCTACGTACACACATGCATGCATGCATGAATGGACACAAACATGCATGCACACATGCATATACATCTGCATGCATACATGCAAATATGCGATATATGTCTTGCACCTGTCTCATGTTGGGTTTTGTGTTTGTACTGTGTAGCCTGATAACTCATTGAACTCTGCAATCAGCTGCCAAGGCCTCGGGCATGTCGGCCCAGGCTGCTGCATTCATGTCAGCTGGTTGGCTGACCTCGCTTTGCATAGAGATACTGCTGATGGACAAAATCCTGCATTACCCTTTATAAGGAATATACCATAGTTCCCACAGTTTAGAGTCCTTAGGGTCATGCAGGATTTTGTCCATCAACAGTACGGGCCCCTAAACCCTAAACTTCTAAAACCCTAAGCATCCCGAAACCCTGATCTGGGGTCCATGATGGTCTGTGTTATGAGGATCCTGCTTTTAAGGAGTCTTGAAGTTTCGGATTGCTTCGCATTTCGGAATGCCATTTAGTTTTCGGCGGCGATCATGGTTCGAATCCTTCTATCTGGTATCTAATGCTGGTGTCTCTTTTTCCAAAAGCTCTCACTTGAGCCGGGGGGTGTTGCGCCTTGGAGTACGTAGCTTGGCTTCGGGTTGGGAGTTGACGAGAAGCATGAACCTGTCGAGCTGCAAAAGAACAGTCTTCCTGTGCCGGAAACATCTCGCCGAGACCAAGACTTGCTTTAGGGTTCTGGGTAACCGTTGAGGGTGTTTATCCAACACGGCGAGAGCCCGATCGCGGGGGACCAGCCAGAAACACGGGACCCTAAGATGGAACCGACTTGGTACGACCTCCTTGTTGACAGAAAACATTAAAAACACTAACTGAGTATATAAGCCCTGCATAAGCAGTAGCACCCTTGTAACATGAAATCCGTCGTGAGGTACGTCTACGCGAAGTTTTCTGAAGCCCCGAAATGCCGTCCTTCCAGCAGGTTACAAAGGAGGCTGAACAAGTGGACTAGCACCCTGCGGGGGCTATAAACCCACTTACTACCCAACCCAAGTCAACTCTAAAAAACTCGGAGTATTCTACAACCATATAAAAACCCAAAGCCCTATAATTATAAACACTGGAAAACCTCTCCCTAAACCCTAAACCCCTAAACCCTAAAACCGTATCCAAGAAGCCCACCAAGCTCCGTCCTCCCCGGGTAGGGATGCCAGGAAGGTGCGAGGGGAGATGCGCAGAAACCTGCTGAGCCGAAGAGCTCCCTTTTGGCTACTATTTGCTTAAGAACCCCCAAAAAATAAAAAAATATATTCCTTATAGGGATAATATAGGGATTATCATTTTTTATTTTTTTTTGGGGGGGGGTTCTTAAGCAAAGAGTAGTTGGGGGATCCAGAACGGTTTAGGGTCTCGGGTTTTTTGGGTTAAGGATCTAGGGATTTTCCAGGGTAGTAAGGCGTGTGTAGGGGTTTCGGCTTTAGGCGCTTACCATTTAGGGCTCGAGGGTTAACTTAAGTGCTTTCGGGTTCAGGGTTCAAGGCACACCTTTTGTAAGCAGCTTGCTAATTCGGAGACCCTTCTTGCAAGTATCTTAGCATGTCCTGTGCAGACCATGACTTGCTTTTTCGAGGGGGGTCCTTCATATCAGGAACTTTACTACAATCTCTTTTATAGGGTTCGGCTTTCCATGGCTTTCAGAACAAGACTAGCAGCCTGGGTTTTGGACATGCTGGGAGGGATCCGAACATGAGTGCGGTGGTTGCTGGTCCAGGGTTCAGGGCCTTGAGGTTTCGGGGTTTGCGGTTCAGAGTCGTAGGTTTCCGGCAACATGAACTTGACTCCTGTAGTCTTGCCAGCCCAGCGGGATGAGACTACGTACCATTTATAGCTTCGCTTATTAAAATGCAGAGAGTATATGGACAAGACGATGCGAAACTACATCCAAGCAGCTGCGGCGGTCCATCCGGAAAGCGTTGCTCCTTGCAAAACGGGCTTGATCATGCTTGTGGAGGTTCGGAAAATGGATCTTCATTCTGAGTCCCTGCAGGTAAGAAAACTCTCTTTGAAGGGACGCTCGAGGGTGCTGGGCAACTAGAGCACAGGCCACACGATGCGCTGAGCACTACCTACCTTCGCGCGTGCTGCAAAGACCTTTGCTGCACGTCAAAGCGACTCTACATAAATCCCCAGCAGATCACAAGCCTTAATCGCCATCACTACGTGTGCCACACAAGGCCCAACCTTTCGACGGGAATTGGAAATGAAATGAGCAAATAGTCTCAACATGCAGAGTTTTTGGGCGGCAGGTACACCCGAAGCATCCACGAAACTCGAATCTTAAGAACCTGGACTAATTACTTGTCGTGTTCAGCTTGAACAGCCATAACATACCATAACTTCGACTATTGCTAGGGTCCCAAGAATTAAACCACCTTTGATCCGACCTCTCGTGGTCCCCGAACCTAGACCCTAGGCCCTATGCCCTCCTGAAGCAAGCCTTACGTTGCCGAACCCAAGTCACGAATTCAGGGCGATCCAGCAGGTTCAAAACCTTTGAGGATTAGGGCTTTCGGGTTCAAAGTAGAAGCCAGAAAGTTGGAACATGGCTTTCGGAGGATTCGTGCTAGCATCCCTTAGAATTTACCTTGAGGGCATAAGGAGAATGATGTTCCAACTTTCTATCTTCTACTATAAGGGGGTTTGGAGTTTCGGGGCTTGGGGTTGAAGGAGGTTTGGGCTTCAGCATTTTAGGGATTAGGATTGCAAACGAGGCCTTGGGTTTTAGGTGCAGTGGTTCAGGGTTTGAGGGTCTGGGTTCACGACGTTTTGGGGCCCCTTACACAACAAAGTTAAATGGAAGTTGCCAGGAATAGCCCCTACCCCCATGCCCTGATCTGAAATCATTCAAGCCGCTACTTTTCTTGACCCTAAACCCTAAACCCCAAACGGGCTTTAGGTTTAGGAAACCCTCCAGTCGATAACTTTTTGAGAGCGGTTCAAGCTTGAGCTTCTGACGGCATTTTGTCGAATAAAGGGCTTGGGGTTTCGAGCTTGGTGTTTCGGGTCTGCGGGCTGTGGGTTGAGGGGCTTAGGCTTCCGGGTTTCACAGCTTTCGCGGTCTCTCTTGGTTCTCCCTGGCGTTCAAACTCTAGTAGGGCAGTACGGACACACCCCTAAATCCTAAACCCCCGAAGCCTAATCTCTAAACTCCTGAACCCCAAAACCCCTAAACCCTAAACTCCTAAAGCCCTACAAATCCTAAACCCTTAACCCCGAAACACTATGCAGGTTGTGAAAGCTCGGGATCGCCGGGGACGAAACTTGCAAAGACTGGGATCGAATCCGCTACACGTCGAAACCCCAACCCTCTTAGGATTTGTAGGGCTTTAGGAGTTTAGGGTTTAGGGGTTTTGGGGTTCAGGAGTTTAGAGATTAGGATTTAAGGGGTTAAGGATTTAGGGGTGTAAAGCCTGAAACCGAAACCTTGAGCACTGGGTTCAGGGTTTAGGGTTTAGGGAAACCTTAAGCACCAAACAATAAATCTGAGGCCCAAAGCCCAACAGCCTATAAGCGACAACCACACACCGCTGGACCCTGGACCTCGAACCGGAGCAGCGACAATCTGTGAAAAAGCAAGGCCGCTCGCTTCCGTATCACTTAGCCGCGGCTATTTCCGAAATCCACACACGCATTCCCCGTAGCAATTTCAATTCCACGGCACCTCTGCATTCCCCATCTGGACTTGGGACAGGAATTGCCCCAGCCAGCCCTGAAGATCGCCATCACCTGGGTGGCTTCTCTTTACAAACAAGGGGTTTAGGGTTTAGGGGGTTTTGGTTAATCAAAGACGCAGATGTCAGCATGTTTATACGAAGTCCCCTATCAAGAGATGCAGCAGATGTCCAAAAATCGTCCCGCCGAGCTGCTGCTGCCCAAGGGGACGAACCAATAGGTCCAGTCCAGGCGTGGGAAGTGGGGAAAGCAAAAGGGCGGCTGACCTGGACTTGGGTTTGGCAACGGGTTCGTACAGCTTCTTGGGAGAAAAATCGTGATCAGCTAAACCCCGAGCCCCTCATACCACCAAACCCTTCTTTGGCCAAACCTCTGTCGGAGCTTTGGGATGAAGGTTTGAGGGTTTGGGGCTGTGGTTTAAGGGGACCTCGCATTTTGCATTTTTCTCTGGCTCACAGCAAGAGACAGCTGGTATCTCTCGGCTTCTTTGCCCGATCAACGAGGAGGAGGGTCGTTCGAGGGTGGCCTCAGAGTCCTCTGACTGGGGGACGATTGGGAAGAGACTTCCTTGAACGGAGGTTTTAAACACAAGGGCACCTACCTGATAACCGGCTCAGGGAAAGGATCATTTAATTTGAACAACTATCATTTAAGGGTGGAGCCATGTCGTTCTGCCGTGTCCCTTGCCATGTGTTCTGCAGTATGTGAGTGCTATAGTGCGTTTAGCCAGAAGGTGAAACAGGAAGACTGGAAAACGGACGTATAAACCCCAAGTGAGGAGATTGTCAATTGAAACGTGCATCTGGGAGTTCATCCAAATCGCCGTTTGCGCACATGAGCCATCAACCCGTAATGCCGTAATAACTATATACCATAGCTTAGCCTGCATGAGCCCTGTCAACCCTAAACCCTCCAAGCTATCCTCCCTTAGACGCTAAGCTATAGGAACGGGCCCCAGCTGGGGAAACCTGGAACAACCTCGGCCTAATGCGGGAGCTTTGCTTTTGTATTCACTAACTTGATTGAATTGGTTGCAGGGTATGTTATGCAATATCGTACTACTACGGAACCATAAGGATTCGCACCTCGTACTGAGCCTTCTCTAGAGCAACCATCACAGCCAAGCTGCGGGTCGTCTCAACGACCTGCACCGCGGAAACCGTTAAAGTTTCCTACGAGGGTTCCTTTAAGGGTGCCGTTAAAGAAATACGGTAGGCGAAAACCCTTGTCCCTGAACGAAAACGGGAGTCCGTCAGGATAATCCTCGAGACCGTGCCTGAAGACCTGTCATCAGATACAATCAAATCGTGGGTCTCTACTGAGTTGTACATAGAACACTAAATAAACTTCGTTCTTCACAGCTCCAGATGAAGCACTCCAAAGCAAAACCGCGATTTGGATTTAGAGGTTTGGAGGGTGGGGCCTGTGGTTTAAGTTCAGTAAGGTCTCGGAAAGCCACAATTCAAACACCCCAAAGAAAAACCCTAAACCCTAAGCCACATATAGGCACAAACCCGCGATGCTCGCCGAGATCGCTGTGGTGCCTGGTAGCGGAAAGGGACCGTTGACCACGGCCCCGATGGACTCAGAGCACCCTCGGGCAGAAGAACGGCTGTCGGATAGAGACCTTCCTTCTTAGAGTATGGTTTCGGGGTATACCCAGAGGCCCCATGGTAGTAACTTTATGGGATTACCTCATAACATTCTATATATGAACCCCAAAAAAGGAACTACTTTGGGGTCTATGGGTAATGTGATGGAATTGCGATGGTAGCAATTACAGTGGGGAACACATTTGCGCACTTCGGGCCTCTCAAAATATTGGGAATGTGCGAGCCTCTTTCATCAGCATTGAAGGTCCATGGGGCTGCGCGCAAGGATTGGGATTGCTCAGGGATTCGGATGATTAAGGGAGGATGGAGCCGCCATTTCGGGTGACGGAATCAGAAAGCCCTGGAGTTGAACAGAGGTTAGAGAGTTAAGGCGTTTTTTTTAAAGTGCAATGACTCTTTCTCCGCTGGCTGCAGGTCTGGAGCCTGCCTCTGGTCGAGGCTTACACTATGGCAGACGGAACATCAAACGCAGCAATCACAGCTCTCAGAGGTGCTCTTAGTTGTGCTCATCACGGCTTCGACTCCGTTCACGGCTGACTCTTCGTTCACGCACACTCGGAGACATCGACGCACCATCCCAATCATCCAACGATCCAACACCGGCTCCATCATCCTCCACAAATGTGGAGTTCTCCTCAACATCACCCACAGAAGCCAAGGGAGCAGAACTTCCATGAGGAACACTCCCCTCAAGCGACAGGTCCGTGTTGACAGGCATCACGACAGGTGCAGGACGAGGTTGAAGACCACGGCGACGTACTCCAGAACGAGCATGGTCACGAGCAGATAGCGGCGTTGGTGCGAGTGGTGGCCAGTTGTCAACCTCGCGCCGTTCGTCAGCTTGTACCAGGTACAGTTCACGGTCATCTTCTGCCAGCCAGCGACCCCGCGGGGGACTACGGCCACCTGATCTGAAGAGGTCCTCCACATGGCGTCGCCACCCCCTTCGGCGAAAGCCAGCCCAAGCATGCTCAGGAACTCCAGGCAGGGCATTCTCGATAGCTTGGAGCGACGAAGGGAGGCCAGGGTGAAGCATGACAAGCGGAAAATTCACCCAGCTGGAGCTGTGTGCCGAAGTCACCCCTGACCCATGCTGAGCTTCACGAACAATCGTCGCCCAAACTCCTCGTTCGTGGATGTTGGCATTGAACGGGTGAACCTCCCGGGGTACACTCACCCAGCGCCACGCTTCATCCAATGCCACCTGGGTCAACCGCTGCAAGTGTTGGAGACGTCGTTGATGCGCAAGTAGGCGGCGGATGAGTTCCTGGACATCGGCAGAGCTCGAGTACACCAGCTGCTGGTTGACCTGGTCACGAACAACAGTCTCCGGCGTGTCGACCATGCTCGTCGTTGTTGTGGTAACACTGCTCGGTGTCCAACAGGTACTGCTCGTCGCGAGGGTAGAAGTCGATGTACAGGTAGTCGTCCAGGTAGTCGTCCAGGTTGAACACGCCATGGTCAAAGTAGACGCCAAGCAAGTAGACCCGGTAGAACACGACGAGCTCAACGAAAGCCAGGAGGTAGTCAAGGACGAAGTGGCAGACAGAGAAGAAGTCGCCCCAGTTTGAAGAAGGAAGAGTGTGTTACCCTCCTCCTCCTCACTGTGCCCCAGTTCCACACCAGTCTGGCCCACGGTCAGCTGAGTTAAGGCGTTTAGGGCTTAGGGTTTTGGGGTTTGTGGGTCGGGAAAGTGGAGGGTTTCATCGCAGAGTAGGTGAGAGAGTGGGTGTTGCTGTCCGTTTGCAATGTATTGTCCAGGGTCTGGGGCTTCTGGAAAACATCAGTGTTTGGGTCCCGGCTCAAGAATTTTGGTGGAGGGCGCGGGGCGTCAATCCAGTCCACTTCTGCTTGAAAGGTTCGACCTCTGAATCCGGGACCTGGTAGACGACAAACCCTACGAAACCTGATGACTAACCCCTAAAGCCGAAATAAAACCACCCGCAGCCCGAAGCCCAAACCCTAAAGTCCTGGAAGGCATGAAACCTATGTCCCCCTTAGAACCATAATAAGAAAAATACTCTTGGGTTTTATATGAACAGAAATGACAAAATAATTCCTAAGGAGACTATAGAAACTTCCACATGGTAGATTTACAGCCGCATCTGAACCGTATTGAACCAGCGCCTCCAAGACTTCTGTGGGGCGGCCACCCACGCCACTCATTCTTGCCTTGGGAACGGTTTAGGATTTAGGGTTTAGGGTTTAGGGTTTTGGGTTTAGGGTTTAGGGTTTAGGGTTTAGGGTTTAGGGATTCAGGCAACAGCGGTTTGGTGTTCAGAGGGTTCAAGGAATCAGAAGCTGAGGGTTCAGGGGTTTATAGGAAACTCCAGAAAGTTGGAATATGGTTTCATGGTAGGATACCCTGTAATTTACCATACAAGAGTTAGGATAATCATATTCCAACTTTCTGGCTTTTACCTTAGGAGCGTAGAGGATTGTGTGGCTTAGAGGGTTTAGGGAGCTGAGGGGCTTAGGGCTAAAGGCTCAGGGCCCTACCTGTGAAGCTTGAAGATGTGAAGCCTGAAGCTGAGAGTCCTGAGATGCGATCTGACATCATAAACCATAAGACCGAAAATCCCTAAACCACCCTTTAAAAAACTTGAAGGTGCCCTGAAATGGGGCCCTTGATGGTGCGGATTCGGGCTCTTGTATGTAGAGTTTTACTGGGGGACCCTAACCCTAAACCGTGGCTTCGTGAGCCCTGAACCCGAAACCCTTACCGCCACTGGCCACGGTTTCGGCCTGCCGCCTCGGCACGAAGAGACCGTAGCGAGCAGCTCCGAAGTCAAAGATCTCGGATATTGCGGAGCTCTGGGGGTTTTCGGGTTCAGGGTTAGGCTTTACCCAGGGCCATAGTAGCTCCTTTTTGGGAGTACCTCATAAGATTCTGAATATGAACCCCAACAAGGGACTACTTTGGGGCTTTAGGAGGTTGGAGGTTATAGGCCTTGAGGTTTGGGTGGCTACGGCTCTTATCAACATGAAACCCAAGAGCCCCTCGCGCCCCAAAACTGTCTTGCTGAACACCAGTTGGGCGTATACGGCATGCCAAGATAAACATATGTCCTAGCTCAGGAGGGCCCGCGAGCTTTGATGCTGAACCGTGGACGACATGACCCTGCAGGCTTTGAAATCCAACGGCCCCGCATCATCATCACACTTCGCAATCAAGCTGCGAGTAAACCCTGTGCATCACCAATGCCGCCGAACACTGGACGCAACACAAAAGTGACGGGGCCCTTACACAGAGCGATTGAGGACAAAGCCCTCAAACCATGAAGCCTCCACAAGGTTGCGCAGCCACGCAAACATCACCACCCCCTTTGTCCCAAGATACTAAACCTTCCCGCAAGATACCAAACCTTCAAAACTCTGTACACCCTGAGCACCGATGGCCCGCAAACCGTGGTTGCTATGCCCATAGCCCTGTTGCATCCTGCCCCGTGAAATCCAAGCCTGCAACAACTCCTCGGCAGGCAGGATTACGCCCAAGCCTTCGCCGCGAGTTTTGTTGACCATGTTTTCAGCTCCTGCTTGAGTTTAGCTTGGGCTGAAACTAGTTCATGGTTGGGATAGGATTAAACCTTTTCATGTGCATTCCTTTGGTTTAAGTACCCATAAAAAAGTAAAATGTTACCCAACTATGATACAGGAATGCTGAAAGCTTATCGGCCTCAACGTGAGCATGCCAGGCTGGCGCAGCCGAAAGGACACTTACCCTAAGGCCCCAAAGTAGTTCCTTTTTGGGGTTCGTATTTTAGAGTCTTATGAGGTAATCCCACAAAGGAACTGCTATGGGGCCTGTGGGTATACCCTCTACGGAATTGATTTAACTGTCTTTGGATACTTGCACCACGACGGGTTTTTCATTGTTGGACCACGGCATGTAGGAATCTGTCTGTGCTGGACCTTATGTGTAGCCCCAAACCGTCAAGACTAGCAGGGCATGACTCTACGCTACGACCAAAACCTATGGGGACATAACCCTAAACCCCTGCAGTAAAAGCCAGAAAGTTGGAATATGATTATCCTAAACCCTTTATGGTAAATTAGAGGGTATCCTACCCTGAAACCATATTCCAACTTTCTGGAGTTCCCTTTAAACCCTGAACCTCCCTAGTGGGCTTTTGGATCCAGAGGTAAGAGTGTTCGGATGTCCGGGACCTATGACTTTTCAGGGCTGCGCTTGTGGGACTCCTTCGCTTGCACTTTCAAGAGAGATTCTGATTCCTAGGGCCGGCGGATTCCAGTTTGGGGGCTTTGATGATTCGACTTTGGGGCGTAACTCTCAGTCTCAATTCCAATCTCAAGGACTTCAAAGAGGCAAGCTGTCAAGCAAACCCAGGCAACACCGTGCACTCACGTAAACAGCACCTATAGTTCCGCCTCCGGCCAGTTGTGCTGCGGAGCCCAGGAAGAAAATCACTGCCAGGAGAAGACCCAGCCAAGTCTCCTCTCGAAGGTTGTGGCGCGCACGTGCTTAAACCCGAGGCCCTATAGGAGTTATTGGGATTACCTCATAAGATTCTAAATATGAACCCCAAAAAGGAACTACTTCGGGGCCGTAGGGCAGAGGTCCCGGAACAATTAGCAATGATGTCACTGCAACCCCGTCAAAAGTAATTATGCATGATGTACCCCATTACCCTAACCTTATGACTCCAGCCACTATGTAATGGGTTACTCTGCCATGGTTGTGTAGAGATCACCTATTTTGGGCGACTAGCTGGGCCTTTAGGCGAGAATTTAGCACCGGGAACTGCGACGATGATAATTGCCAAGCAGGCAATCTTCTGCTGACTGTCCCGAACCTTGGGAGCCTACTGCTGTGATAATGTTTATAATTAGCCATGAATTTAGCTCATGGCTGGAATAGGATTACAACTATTCAATGTCGATTCCTTATTGGGTTTAAGTACCCATAAAAATGTAAAATGTTACCCAACTATGACAAGGGAATATTCATGCTGCCATTGCGATAGTAATATGTAGTGCTACTGCGTTGAAGCGTTGAGGGTGTAGCGTCGCACTCCTTCGATCATAGCTCAGACAAGCAGCTACCGTGGCTGCAAGCACAAAAGGAACCAAGAGCAAAGCCGCCCAAACCTGCGATCCAGGCTTTGCTTGGTGGTTGAAGGTGCCATATGTAGAAGCCCAACTCCGTATAATGGGTGGCTCTAAATAGCCTACCATGTCTTTTCGATCGCTCTATCTATATATCTATCTATATATATATATATATATATATATACATACATACATACATACATACATACATACATACATACACACACATATATATATATATATATATATAGAAATGTAAGTTGTTTTCTAAGTTTCTATATACCTGACCTTACGGGGGTTCATGGTCTGAAGGTTTGGCGTAGAGTTGACGGGACTGGTTCAGTCGACTGCTTTGGCTACTCCGAGTCCAATCTACAGCTCTCGCCCATATAAGCCCAACATCCAAGCACGTACAGGAGGTGAAGCCTAAGTTCGAAGCAGATGCACTTTGGGCCAAGACTCGTTCATCGACGGCTTCTCGAGCAACCAAGCCCAACAGCCCTGGGACCCGTCAAACCCCCTGAACTGTAAAAATGTGAAAAGAATGGCAACCAAGCTTGTTCGCAGAACCCTGAACACTGCCCAGATGCCCCATCGTAGTTCCTTTTTGGGATTACCTCAGATTCTAAATGTGAACCCCCCAAAAAGGAACTACTTTGGGGCCTTACAGTGAAGCCCAAATTCCTCTGGACCGTCGACTCCGTAAGTCCGACCTGAACACTGAGACGTCACCCCCAGGGGCGCTAAGCCTTAAGAGACGAAATGACACAATATACTATGCTACAGTGATTTCTTAAATTTTGTATAATAAGATATATGCTATGGTATTTTTCTGTAGAAGATAAGCAGCATACGAGTGGACCTTAAAACATGAAGACAAAGTAAACCGGGAGCCTCAATAATTTGAATAGCCTTTCGGGGGGACTTTTGATAAGGAGCCCCAAGGAAAAGTATTCCCAAACACTACTAAACGAACCCCGAAACCCCAAAGCCCTAAACCCCGAAACCCCTGAAGCTTAAACCGCAGGGTCAGGCAAGTCGCCATCGGCTGAGCTCCCCAGGTCCCTCCGCAGCTCCCTCCCTGGTTGTGCAAGGTCCACGCTGTGGCCCCTTGGGACGTCGCTTCTTGTCGTTTCCGGATTGCGGTGGTTTTAGGGTTTATGTAGGTTTAGGGTTCATGGGTTTAGGGACGGGACAGCTCCAGTCTTCGTTGCTGTATTTGCGCCCACATTCTCACCCGATGCATCTTGAACATTCTGCCTGCCATAGGGGCCTTAGTAGTTAGAACTGATTCTTAAAATCTTGCACACTATCAGGAACCCCCCAAAATAGCTTCTACATCACACTGCAAACAGCCCTCATCGAAAGGCCCTGCCGAGCCAGGCCAAGTGCCCTGTATGCTCGGCTCGAGACTACTTTCACTCTACTCTAAACCACCTCTCAATCCAGGCTGAAACCTTGTGCAGAACCCTTATGGAAGCCTTATTACAAAGCCCTCGTAGACTCTGGAAGCGGTACGAACTATATTATAGAAACCTATTCTGGAAGCCTTGTTATACACGCTGAACCAAACTTGAAATTCGGATCCTAAGCCAGAAATACTCCAATGTACGGGCCTTAGCAATTAGAATAGGGTTTTGGGGTATACTACACTATACTTGCACTACGGAACCCCAAAAATAGTAAGCTTAGGTAAGTAAATACTACGCCCCGAAACCACTTTCTCTTCTGAGCTCATGACCTGCAGCTAGCAGGACCGAGGTGAGGCTCACCTGCACGACCGGCTTGAGTAGGTTTCCGGCCCATGACCTTCCGAATTTCGAGTTCAGGCACTGTCGACATGAGTCCTTCCGGCTCATGCACTGAAAAGGTTGAGCTCGCCTTGAGGGTTAGGAGCCTGAGCTTTTTGGCAGTGGCTGAGGCTAGGGGGTGTCAGTGCTGGCTAATTGCTGTCAATCCGTACGCGCTGCAAACCCACGTCTTCCCACCAGAATGATAACCATCTCGTCCCTCACTGCCTACAGATGCTGTGCAACACAGATTTTATACACCCTGAAGCCCTAAACCCAAGACCCACGCGCCGCACCCGCACAAAACGGAAAGACCAACAACCTTGGGCTCTTGTAGCCGTAAAAGAAACCCTGAACCCGCAAACCTCCAACAACCCCAAAACCCAGCGGGTTTGGGGTTTCTTTGGGTTCATAGATAGGAGCGTGCCACAACCCCGGTCTCTGAGGTCCAGACAGCCGGCACCAGTTCCTCTCCTTCGGCGGCGTTTCGGTTTCAGGCCCGCTTCCATCTGCTCGAGCTTCTTCGATTTTCGGGCTGCTAGTATCGGTTGCTATTTTGGCCTTGGGGGGTTTCTGTTTTTGATCGGTTGCTATCTTGGGCTTGGGGGGGGTTCTGCTTGTTTTGGTTAGGGGCTTCTCGTGCTGGGTTGCCCTTAGGGTTTGGGGCTTTGGGGTGTAGGTCATCGTTTTCAGAGCTGGATGTTACTGATTAAGTTTGGGACTGACGGTTCTCAGGGGTTTGAGGTTGAGGGATCCGGAGCGTCGGGAGCCAACATAAGGCCCAGGAAAGCCATGCAAGACGTGACTAAGCAATGGAGCCTTGCTAATCAGAGTTTAATGTACGTAATTTCGAAAACAGCCTCTCTACAGTGAATACCTGCCGGAACTCTGGAAGTATCAAAGCTGTCTCAGTCGTCGAAAGATTGCAGAGAAAGAGGGTGCACGAAGCAGCTGGGTGCAGTTGGAATCAAGGGGGCATAGGGCTTCGCAGCGTGCCACGTCGTAAATCCCTGGTCCAAGCACCTTCGGAAAGCCCCTAAGTAAGCCTCGGCGTTCAAACCCGAAACCTCCCCTAAAGGCTTCAATCATAAACTGTCTACAAAAGGTCATAAACTGTCCTACAAAAAGCCCATCCCCACAATGTGAGCAGGGGGGCGTAACTTCGTCGGAACGACCTGCCCGCTGCTCCGCGTGGCCAAAGCGGGTGCAGGGGGCAAATCTTCATCCTGCGGGTGAAGGTTTTGGGGTCTATAGGGTTTCGTGTTCAGGGTTCAGAGTTTCTCTTTTGGGTTTAATTTTAGGGTGTAGTGTTTCGGGCTTCGGGCTTATAGGTTTATGAGGTTTCTATAAGTCTTTTGCGGGCGTAGGATTGCAGGGTGTTGAGTCGGGGATGTCAACGGTGCAGGACTCGGGATGCGTAGGGTTTGGGTTTGGGGATTCCAGTGGCGCACTTGGACTAGTGGCTAGTTCTTGGCTCATGACGGGTGGAAGTCAAGAGTTGTAGGAACAGAGGTGGGCAGCCGTCGAAGTCAGTTGCAGCTGTATCAACGAAAGCAGCAACACTCCGCCTCCGCGCGACGATGAGAACAAGAATCAGAAGCCACATGCAGCAATGAAAACCAGTCAACAAGTAACACTCGCTACTTACCAAGCAACTGCCCAGGAGATACAGAAATGCCATGCAATACCATCGGCATGTGAGAGCACCAGCACCCGCGTGCCAGCGCCAACCCCGCCACAGCCACCAGCGGTGGTGCCAGAGCCACCGCCACCACTTGCATCGCCACACGCACCGCCACAACAACACAGCAACAGCAACAGCAACAAACGCAGAAGGATATAAGGTCTGTCCTCAAGCAGCGATAAGGCGATGATCACCTGAGTTGCATGGGATCTGCTAAGGGTGCAACATGTCCTAGAACCCCAAACTCAAACAGAACAAAACCGAGCTGGAGCACGGTGTGGACTCGAGGCTCTAAAGATTCCAAAGTCTTCAGAAAGCGCTCTCACGAGCTGTTTCCGTCTGCTTGTTTGTCGGTCTCTGTGCCAGGGATCCTCTGCTTTCACTGCTTTCAGGGTCTCACAATGCCTGAAATTCTCGAACGTTGGATGTCTACATACGCAGCTGTGGTGATACGATTTAGGGTATACAGTGTAGGGACTTAGCCGACTTAGCCTGAATTTTGCACGTCCGCAAGAGCTTTACGCACTAGGCAATGCTCCAAACGCAGAGGGCTCCTTCTCAGGCAGCTTCCCAAAAAATTCTAAAGTACCCTGCCGGGCATATACTGGCACAAGCCTCAACAATATACCCTAAAATCCAATAACCCGAGACCCCAGCTCCTCTCCAGCGAGTAGCCGTCATGAAGTTGAAGCTGCCAAAATTCCCGGCCAGCACGATGCCTCTGACCACCCAGAGGCCCCATAGTAGTTCCTTTTTTGGGGTTACCTCATAAGATTCTAAATATGAACCCCAAAAAGGAACTACTTTGGGGCCTTCGGGCAGGCACAGCGGCTCAAACCTAGGAAGCCTGAGACCCTAGTGGGCTAAAGCCGAACCCCCTGAGCCTCTAAAGCCTTAGCACTCGCAATCAACAATATTGAGAACACTGACAACAGCAGTTACAATAGAATCTAAAACACTCGTGGTCGGAATCATCATCATAAACATATTGTTTACACAACAACACTTATCATAGGCACAAACTCAACATCATCAGTCTAGTTGTTTACAAGTGCGACGATAACCTCGGGGAGTTCAAGACTTACCTTTGGTTAGTAGGGAATGGAGGAATGGTTCTATAATTATAACTACTATTACTACCATTCTTCCATTCCCTACGAACCAAAGGCAAGTTATAGGATGATTAAGGCCCCCATATTATAGTACCTTATATAGATCCCTGATAGTAACCCTGATAGACCCCTTTATAAGGGAACCCTACCATTCCCTCCTAACCAGAAGGTAAGTTATAGGATTATGAAGGCCTATATATTATAATACTATAGATCCCTTGTAAGGCCCCTTCCATTCCCTACTATCCAGAAGGTAAAGATCCCTTTAAAGGAACCCTAAAGACCTGCTATAGATCCCTTTAAAGGAACCCTATAGATCCAAAAGGTAAGAAAATGAGACTTCCAGGGGCTCTCGGGCCTCCCTGCAGAGCGGTCTGCAGGGCGAAGGCAATGCGCCGGACGTCGGCGGCCGGCGCGAGGAAGAGGAAAGCCAGGCCTAAGAAAGGGCCCTTTTTTTTTTTAGGGTTTAGGGTTTAGATATAGGGGCCTTAATAATTAGAATACGGTTTCGGGGCCCATTCTACTATGACTACAATAAGGAACCCCCACCATAGTAAGCCGCTCTTATCTGAGCTCTGCAGGAAGATTGGGTTGATAGTGATGCGAACCATCCGATGTGTCTACTGCTTTGCTACTTGCGAGCTTGTGCGCCTGATGGTGCGAAGCTTTGATCCATCGCCACCATCTTCCCCGTCTTCCCCGCTCTCGCTGCCGTAGGGGGTTTCCCCGGCATATCATCCACTGCTCGTATCCGTAATTTGGACGACTCCATGTCTGGAGGTCGGTGTTCTTCTGTGCCCAAACATTCCCTTTGCGGCGACGTGCGAACCTCTGAAGCTTGTGAGCCTGAAGGGGGAAACGGGGGGATAGACTAATTCCGCGCGCTGGCGCTGGCGCTGGCGCTGGCGCCGTGGCGCTGGGCGCTGGCGCTGGTGCTGGCGCTGGGGATAGGGCGCTGGCGCTGGGGCGCTGGCGCTGGCGCTGGCGCTGGGGCTGGGGCGCTGGGGCTGGGGCGCTGGCGCCGGGGCGCTGGCGCTGGCGCCGGCGCTGGCAACATCAGCTGTCGTGCGGTTCGCAATTTCCCAGAGGCTCCGATTAGTCTATTTACAGACTATATATACAAATATTAACTAATAGTTAATATTTATACTAATTCCTAAAATAGTTAAAAAATTAACTTTAACTATAGTTAAAAAATTAACTCCAAAAAATATATAAATTAACTCCAGAATATATCTCAATGACATGATCGTGTGCAGTATTTTTCCACAAGCCCGTCTGCAAAACTCTGGTCTGAGGCCTAAGGCTAGCGATGTCGATCACTGCTTCTTTTGAGCAATGTGGCCGGAGGATAGCACGATGTATCGATGCTTACCGTCAGCTGCCCACTTCTTGCACTGACTGCAGCCGAAAAGCAAGCCACGATCTTTGGTGCATCCGTACCGAGTCAGCAGGATACCGTCTTCCTGCAAGACTTCCTTGGCTGGCTCTCCCCTCGTAGGCTCTTCCGCTGCGGCCCGGACTACAGGCTCTGCCGCAGCCGGTCTCTTGCAGGCACCTTTGGCGGCAGCAGGCTTCTTCAAGACACCTGGAGACGAGTTCCTAGCTTCCGCGATGGTCTCCATCCTTGCCTTTTTAGACATTGGTTTGGCCGGGCTGCAGGCTAGAGCTGCTGCAAGAGCTCGCTTGTTGGCTCGCTCTAGGAAGCTTGAAGGCTCTGTAGAGCCCTGGGCAGGCTCTGTAGAGCCCTGGGCAAGCTGCAAAGTTGCAGCAGCAGACGTCCCTGCAAGCGATCTCTGACCATCCGAAGGCCCGAGCAGAAGCTTGAAGTTTCTCTCTATCTGCCTTTCATCCTCAGACGAGTCATTCGCCTCGGGCACAAGCTGCAGTGGCAAGGGCCCTGTGCCACTGTCTGCAGGCAAAGCAGCCAGCCCAGGATTAAGGATGCGGCATAGCTTCAAGATGCAGGCTTGTTGCTGCAGCGAAGTCTTCTTCAGCGCCTTCGCTCGCTCTTTTTCGTCGACAGCAATTTCACGGATCTTGCCTGTGATCATTCGGAGCCTCAACATCAAGTACTTGATGCAGGCATCCTGCCAATTGGGTCCTGTGGCATTCGCTGGTCGACTCATCTCAAACGGTGTGGCCTTGTGGCAGCTGAGCAGAGCAGTTTCCAGCATCTTGTGAGGCAAGAGGCCGTTGGAGCAAATCCCTAGCAGACAGATCAGCAAGCCCTCCATGGCACAGATTTGTGCCACATGGCCTGTGATCGCTGTCTTCCAAGACATATTCTCCAAGCCGCAAACCATTCGCTCGAGGCTACGATGGCCCATGTGCTTAAGCCCTTCCTCGATGGCCCCTTGCAGCTTTGGAGCCGTCACGGAGTCCAGCACCTTCAGGCGGGTTCGGCCGACGACTTCCATTGCTCGAAACTAACAAAACACCGAGGCACTCTAAAACCGGTCTTGAGCCCAAAAGCAAAAAACGACACAATTACTAGAAGATCATACAGCAGGCGGTTCCTCCGTGCACTTCTACTCTACGGGCCGGTTTTTTTCGGACGTGACTGCATGTCACACAAAGAGGGGTCGGTGAAACTCCTTGTCTACTTCGACACATATGGCCCTAGCATATTGCCGACCGAATCTTTGCAGTGCCGGCAGCTGCTTCCTGCCATTCAGGCAGGACTTCAGCAGGGTCTTGCAGCGGCTCATATAGTCTTCTCCGCTGTACGTCCACAAAAACTTCGGGTTCATGTACTCGGAGTAGTGGAGACAGTGGATCAGCCAGTGAGACTTAAACGTTAACTGGAACAAACACCGCCCAAGCTTCAGATGTTCCTTGGTTAACTTCGTGAGACATTGAGCGAGGCTGACTCCAGCAAGAACCCATTGCTCACTCTCAGCCTTCGTGGGGTGCCAGTCGCTAGAGGAGGACACCTCTGTATCCAAGAAAACGCTCAGTTCCAGCAGCAAGTTCGTGAGGATGTGCAGCTCCTGCTGAGGATCCATGCGGTTTCCCCAAACCGTCTTCAATGCCGCCACTGTCGCCTTGGTTTCGGCAGCCTTGCATTTCAGGCATGGGTAGGATTCCCGGCAGTCCACGTCGCCGACTTTGGACAAATACATCCCCGGTGTGAGTCTGCTCACCGGCCTTTCGCCACGTCCCCGGTGTGCTCTGTGCAGCTCTTCCACCAACTGGATGCGGTTGGATTCAACATCGCCGGGCATCACAGTGTGCACTAGGAGCCAGATGACACTGCCACATATTCTTTGGTCCACCCCAAGATGCTTCGTGTGCATCATGTCTGGGAAGACGGAAGCCTTGCAGAGAGTTCTCCGACAAAGAATGTGGGAGTCATGTCTCGGGAGAATCCACGGGTCTGCCGGCACCCTCGGAACTGCCCTGAAGCCAAACATGGCCTGTCGTGCGACACCGCACAGGCCACAGGGCTTCAGGGAATTCCAGCGAGGAAGGCCATGTGCCAGACTGAACCACTCCAGGTCTCCGCTGGCGAAAAGCAGCACCGGGAAGGGTCTCTGATGCCCCGCTGCTTCGTCCAGGGCGGCATCGAAGGACTGGCACACTAGAGCCCAAAGGCTTTGCACTGTGTCCTCGCCGCCGGCCTTGACGATCAGGTCGCACCAGATCGCAGCCATCAGCTGGTGCTGACACTTGCTGGCCGCTCTCTGACACAACAGGGATCTCCAGCTAATGAAAGCGCAGGACTTCTGGCTCGCCCCTATGGCTGTGATTGGCACACCGTCACCGTGCAAAACGAGCGGTACTGCCCGACGTTGGAAGCCTCTGATGTTTCGCACTGGATGGTGCCGAAGGGCCGGGTGTCCAGAGCACTGGTTCCAGAACTCCTCCAGCTCATCAACCGAGGGAAGGCAAACTTCCTTGAAGAACTCTGGACGTCGAGTCCGCAGGCATTCGAAAGTCTGCACCGGGTCAAAGAAAGGGATGCGACCTGGCCTAGGATTCAATGGCAGCATCTCATATCTCGGTTCCAAGAACGGCGGCTGCACCCGTCGCTCCAAATCTCTCCAGAGATTATGGGTCAAGTCTGTGCTGCCTCCCAAACCTGCCAAGGTGGCGAGCTGTTTCGGAACAGTTGCCCGCTTTCGGGTTAACTCATCCGAAGCAAGCCCGGCGGTTGTTCGGACTTGTGCCAAGCTCTGATGACCCCAGAGGAACTGTCGGTACAGATGCACAGCGAGCTCTGATTCCTCCTCTTCCTCCTGCAGACGGGCAGTTCTCTGCCGAACACCTTGCCGGGAGCCTCCAAGCACGGCTGCTTCCATGGCCAATCCTCCGATGGCCCAGTTCTAAGCCTAAGCAGCTGCATGGCTGCGAGCCAAAAGCTTTACAACATCGATCACGACGACAGGGCGACTACGACGACGACCAGGACGACCACGACAACGGCGACGACCACGGCGACGACCACGGCGACGTCGACGACGACGACGACCGCGACGACGACGACGGAAGACGACCAACCCTGAACTCTCAACCCTGAACCCTAAGGTTGGGCCGGGAGGGAAGGTAGGGGGAAGGGTGGGGGGGGTTTGGAAGTTTAGGGGTTTCGGGGAGGGGGGTTGGGGACGGGAGAGGGGATGGGGAGGGGATCGGGGGGTTTAGGAGTTTAGGGGTTTAGGGTGGGGTTCGGTTTCGGGGGTTTAAGATTTTTAAATTTTGGGTGTTTGGGTTCGGGGGGTTCAGGACTTCAGGTGTTTAGGGTAGGGTTCGGATTTGGGGGGTGTAAGTTTTTTAAACTTTGGGTGTGTGCTTAAGGTCGAGGATTTTTCGGGTTTGGGTGTTTTGGGTTTCTCTTCATGCTTATATCTACTACTACTTTATAATAAGTACTACTACTACTACTACTACTACTACTACTACTACTACTACTAAGTTACTACTACTACTAAGTTACTACTACTACTACTACTACTACCACTACTACTACATCATGCAGCCAGTAGTGCTGCTGCTCCTAATATAATACTATACTTTTCCAGTCGCACAGCTAAAATGGCGCTTTTGTTTTTACATTTTGATCTTTTGCTTTTTATTTTTTTGTTAATTTCAGCGCCATTTTTGCTGTGTTTTCTTTCGCTTTTTTGCAAAATTTGGTTTGCGGTTTAAGATTCTGGGCTGCATTTTCCAAAACGGCACCAAAGGTAGTGGAAGTTTGGTGGAAGTTTCCTGGAAACTTCCGCCGGGCACGTGGAAGTTTCCAGGAAACTTCCGGGAAACTTCCGCCGAGCACGTGGAAGTTTCCGGGAAACTTCCGCCGATCACGTGGAAGTTTCCCGGAAACTTCCACGGCTCGGTGGAAGTTTCCGGGAAACTTCCACGGCTCGGTGGAAGTTTCCTGGAAACTTCCGCCGAGCCCTGGAAGTTTCCAGGTAACTTTAGTAGTAGTAGTAGTAG